AAGCGAAATTAGCTAACGCTTATCCAGAAACACCCACATTAATGCACTCGTTAGTTTCGGGTCTTACAACGAATTACATACATAATCATAGTTATAGCGACAGTGGGGTTGCTTTTATATTAAGTGATGGTGTATTTTGTATTCGGAAATTATTTAATTTTAGAACAACGACGAACGGCAAACGAATAGGCGGTTCTTCTGATGTTGACCATGAACATTCTCCGCAACCCTTGCAGATACATTACGTGAACCGTTTGTTCCCGCTACCTCACTCAGCGGATAAAACGTAAAACATAACATACTATACTCCTTTATTTTCTTCTGTACGCGTCATAATAATAGAAGACGTTATTAGATATATATTGTCATTAAAGGTTATACCAAGATGACTATACTACATGATACGTGGACTAGAATAATGCAGCTCGAGGATTTTATGGTTTACATTACACACTAACTTTAGCCCCTGATGACTCCGTGATGCAGTTGCCAAGGTATTTGCTCCGGCGCCGGGTCGTGGGTCGATCCCCACGCGAGAAAACCCTCTGTGTGACCCACAGACAATTGTTTCGGACCTGGGTGTTTGTCCACGTGAAATTTATGTATGGCAAACGTTCTCACATCACAGGATAAAGTTATCCTACACTAAGGGAACAATGCTTTCGAAGGGAAGACTACAATATATCTTCTACTAGCTGCTGCCCGCAAATACGTCTGCGTAGAATAGGCTGAAGGTGTAACATTCAGACAGAAAGATGGATATACATAAAATATGTATATAAATTATAGCCTGTGTCTTATTCTGACGTATAAGCGATATTATTGTAAAGTTTCATAAAAATCCATTCAGTAGTATTTGCGTGAAAGAGTAATAAACATCCATCCATACATACAAACTTTCGAGTTTATAATATTAAGTAAGGAAGTAAGGATTTCACAGTGGTCGTTGGGACATATACCCCAACCACTTCCACACATAATACAAAAAACTGTATCCTTTACATGTATTAGGTATGCCAATTTATTATTTGTTCCTGATTTTCGGTTCTGTTTAACAACATCGCGGTGTGTTGTTTTATATACATATATATGTATATACATAGATACGATGATGGCGAAGACGAAATGTATGCAGTTAAAATATTTGTATCGTGTGGGTGTCGAACCCATGCCCTGCCACATCGAAGGCAGTAACTGAGCAACTGCACTGATCTAGCCACTATATTTATTTTGCAATAAGACTTGTCGGATTGGATGTGACACGTATGCAATATCAAATGTTACCGACACATTACGTACACTCAGAATACATTCAATAAATTCGCTATGTGAAATTGCCACTGCCATAATGAAACGTAAAGTTAATAATTTCCATTTATAATAGTCGAAGGTACAAATGCATCGCGTACTGGTTTTGCAAAACAAAGTAGATATACTTGCTAAATAAATGTGGCGCCAACTCTTAACCTTCGTCATTGTATTCTAATATGCATCACCATGACGGCAATCTTCGAAATGAAATCGAAGTTTTTTTGAAAACGCTGTTGTTTTTTTTTTTGTTAAAAGTTGTCAAGTGAGGCGATTCACCAGATATCGAGTGAATACCACCTTGCATATCTAGAAAACGAGATGGCCTTTTGGAGGTTTTGAAAGCTTTTACAAAAGCAGGCCCCGGCTGCCTCACTTACAATTACCTCACTCACTAGACGAAACGCAAAAGTGTAATACTTCCACCTCACGCTGGTCGGCTGCCTGTACCGAATGGCGGACTTACCACCATTAGGTGTCCTCTACCAGTCAATCGACAACAGGATATGTTCGTGGTAGTGCAACAGCAAAATTGTGAACCTAGTAACTTCAAATCGTTAATTATATGTATTTGTAGATAATCCAATCGACGTGCACACATCACTTTAACTTCACAAGCTTAGTTAAACATTAACATGAGACTATCTTTGTATATCCCGTTGGTATCTGATGTAAACACTCTGTGGGCTATGTCCTTGGTTTGCAGTAATAATTGACGACCAATATGGCAACGAGTCGTTTAGCCATTTAACGTTAGCTCTGTCGAAACGGGCCGATTGCGGATGCCAATAAAAACTGGTAACTTGAGATACGCACGCGTTGAGTAATCTTACAATTGTGCGTTGTGTTATTAGCTTAGAGTCATATCACTCGTGACCGGTTTTCGTTTGAGGCTTAGAAATTGCCACTAAGCGGTTGTAGAGTCGATTCGTTCGAGAAATAAATATCCACCGTGTTTACCACATAGCTTGTGTTCAAGATTTATCGGCTTGATACACAAATGCGTTTCGTTGTAGGAAAACTGCTTGGAATAACCCGATGAAAGAATAGACTGCATATTTTAATCAACTTTTTTCGCTGCATCTTTTAATAACTGATTAAAATTATCGTTTATCAAACGCGTGTTGAATATTTCGAAATTTATTTGTATCTGTTATGAAATATTAATGTCACTCGTTGTAATAAATCATAATTACATAAATATACGAATGGTTTTATTAATTTAAAACAAAAAAAAAAATAGCGTGTAATCGCTAAATGTAGACTCTTTCTACGTGCACTTGGGATGTTAGATTTTCAGTTGAGGTCACTTTATTTGTAACGACGAGACGAACGACGTATTCGCTTTTTCAAAGAAGAAATTATTTACTATATTTTTCATAGGACCAATTTCTTCTTTGTCTATGTTTCCATGTACACGTAAGATCTGATTAACACAAAAGCAGCAAAGTCAGTGTTACACGAAACGAGATAAAAGAAGTGAAACACGCAACTGACGATGAAAAAAAAAAAAACAACCGTTTGCAACAAAAAATTCGTCGTAACAAAACAAACGGCGAACGTAAAAAATACAGTCGATTCGATTAAAAGCTGAGCAATTATGGCGCCGGCATCAATTTGTCACCGTTTAAGTGTACGTCGCGACCTGTCACCTTACTTGGCGGTCATCCGCCCTCGCAGAGCGCGACACGAATCACCCAATGCGTCTTCGCGGAGCGGTCAAATATTCAAATCTCCGACATAAATTACAGAGTTATGACATATAGGTAGTGTGGCAATAGCGAGAACTCCTGATTCGTAAAACAGTAAAACATATTTGACAGCTGGACGGGTAATTTTCCACGCGGCGTTTAGACTGGCCCGCGTCTAGAAAGTTTTCTACACGCGCTATGTCGTTTTCGTTGTTGTTAGGCCACGCAGCACCTGTCAAAGCCTCAATTGCGATTGGAATTCGAATCTGCAATTTAAGATTAACCTTCCATTGTTTTAACCATTAAGGAATTGCCGACGTGGATGAATAACAAAGTATTGATTGTCAAAACTTATATTTTTTATAGGGTTCCCTACGTTAAAATCGCCTACTTATATTTTAGAGAACACCGCAGGCCCAAAATTTAAATGATTTTGATTTCTTTACACAATAAGTTTTACCAAATAAATAGCTAGGTCATAAAAATCTTTTGGGTATAGTATAAACTATCTATGCGTAAACTTTTCGTTTGAATCCATGCGAGTGATGTTGTTTTTAAACGATTTATTCTTTTAAATCTCACCAAGAGTGCCAGTCACAAAAACAAAACTCTCGTTCCCTCGCCGTACATGGGACGTTTTCAATCTCGTTGAATGATTATTGAATGACATTGAATGATATGTCGAATCCGTCTAACCGTGCGTCGCTCTACACTAATGACGCCTCAATTTTTCCCGTACACGACAAATGACGACTTGTGTCACCGTCTCAGACTGGCTGCGATTGTACCTATCACTCGTCATTACTCGCGCTGATTATTGCCTCTAGTGAGGGGGCTGCCAGTTCAAATACGGGGTCTTAATTGAAATAAAGGTTAAATTCCTTTATTATCATTCTTCAAATAAAAATAAATAAGAGTTTAAATTGTTTATAGTGCTAATCTTTGCACTTAAGATTGAACATTAAAATATGTAGAAAAAGTGCGAAAAGATTGTCGCCGCTGTGGGAATCGAACCCACCTGACGCTCTATCCACTGAGCTAAACGGCTCAGTGGATAGAGCGTCAGGCCGTGAATGCCGAAGACGTGGGTTCGATTCCCACAGCGGCGACAATCTTTTCGCACTTTTTCTACATATTTTAATAAATAAGTAGTTTTTAATATTCATGAATTTCCGAGACATCAATCATCGGGCTTAATTTTGTTTTAAAGCTATTTGAAAATATGATTCAAGATAACGCATTTACGTCAAACTAACGCAATAAGGTGTATAAGATGCTTACCCTATGGTTTTGATACTATGATGCCACTGTTTGATTGTAATCTTCTGGTAGCCTAATGAGTGGATTATAATAATAATAATCGTTTATTTGTCTAAATATACAAACACTGCACAAAATATTTAAAGAGTAACATAAATAGAAAAAAAAAAATTATGTTGAATTTCCAATGAGCAAAAATTGTTTTCTCAATTCTTGTTCAGTACGGCGACTTCCATCAAGATTATGGAACTCAAAAAACCATAAAACCTACCAAGTGCGAGTCGAACGCGCGCTCTAAGGGTTCGTACCATTATCTATTAAAATGGAAAAAAAACATGTCTTTTGTATGGGTATCCACTTAAATATCTTTTTATTCTTTTTTTAGTATATGTTGTTATAGCGACAACAGAAATACATCATCTGTGAAAACTTCAACGGTCTAACTATCACGGTTCATGAGTACAGCCTTGGTTACAGACGGACAGAGAGACAGACAAACAGAAGCGGAGTCTTAGTAAAAGGGTCCTGTTTTACCCTTTGGGTACGGAACCCTAAAAACTATAATTGACTAGACCCCGTACAGTTATTTGCCAGATATCTTTATATAATTGTTACCAATGTACATATTTGCCTTTGTTTTCGGTTTTACTGTGAGAGAGAACAGTTATATTCCATCACTACTCATATATACTAATCACTTTAACGGTCGCCCATTCGTCACCGTCCTTCGCGCATCACTCACGTCTTTGCGACGTGCCCGCTTACGCGGACGATCATCGCGACTCTTAACGCAAATGTACAGAGTTTATTTTCCATCGCGTTAACAGTATTGGTAAATTTGCTCGGGCAAATCGTCCAGCCGAGCGAGAGCTGCCCCGCCGCGCCGTCCCATGCAACGTGCTGGCCAGAAAAGGGAAGTGTCGGTGTAAATCAACGGCCCAGCTGCACTGGACGCTCCGAACGTATGTCACGGTACATTATCAGAGCCTCTTAATTGAAGATAATAAGGGGGGACATGTGTCTTTGTCGCGTTTTATGGGGTGTAAGAGGGATGGGAAGTGTTTCGTTTTTTTATTTCGAGTTTCGTTATGTCCGGCTATTCATCCACGTCGCGCGTTCATTGGAGGAGGGCTCATTTCAATTTTTTTATAGAAATCACTTAAGGCTGATCGATTAATCTGCTAATCATTTGTCTCTCCGTGGATATATTGCCGTGTTTTAGCCTTTCATTCCGTACGCTTTATTGAATGGCAATTTATATGTTTAACACATTCGTCTCCATCAATCGACGTCAGTGTTGCGATCTTAAGAATTATTTTTGGTGTCATTACGCTTTTCTAAAAGATTTTATTTTCTTCAACTTATATGATTAGAGTCCATATTTTTAAACTGTAATTGTAATAAAACAATCCTGAAATTGTGTGTCCTATCCAATGCGATTTAAATAAGAATAGGACTGACCTCGCGCCATCTTGTGATGTTATAGCTGTCAATTCAAACCAGTTAGGTAGGACAAGCAAAACAGATATTTTTTAAATAATACTTATTTTAAAATATATTTTGTATTTAAGGCATGGCAAAAAGTTTTAATCGGAATCCAGCACTTCATTTCTGCTCATTTCTGCATCACCGTCTCATTATCGTCATCATGATCATCATCATTGGTGCTTTCCCCTTTAAAATTAGAACATGTTATTAAAAGAAAAATTGGCAATTTGTTACCTGTGATTTAATAAAATTTATTGGTCAGTTAAACAATAAAAATAGAAAAAAAGCACAGTTGTTTTAAATAATTTTTAAACATTAGCTAAAACTTTTTATAAAATACATTTTTAAAAAGTTTTTAAATTTTAAAAGTGAATATTTTCTTTGCAAGCCGTACTTTTCAAATGACAGTTTAAAGGTCGCGGTCATTCGAGGTCATTGCCATTCCTATTCTTTATTGAAACACATTACAGAAATCTCTACGTTCACTTCGTCTGTTTCGATCGGTTATACATCCATCATTTACAGCTCAGGTTTTTTTTAAATCTGTCTAGGGAAGCATAGCTGCATACCATGCCTTTCGTAACGAATCAAGTTTAATATAGTCCCTACAGCCGATATCGAATATATCGTCGCATAAAGATCAAAAGAGATCGACCTTAATGTGGTCTCAAATGTAGGTCCATTCGATACAGACGTAAGCCACCTCCGGGCTTAAGACTCCGACTATATAAATCGCCATTGTTCCAAGATAGCCCACCTGCATTCGTGGGGCGATATCAATCCATCTGCCGCGGGCTGGGGTGGAGACGGGGCGTGGGGTGGCGGGGGGTAGGGGGGCCGTCCGGTGAAGTTGACGGGACGTCTTCGAGGGGTATTTAATTTCGTGTAAATGACGCGGTCCGTCGGCGACAGGTTCTCGTGACATTTCACCGTTCTCGCTTATCATTCAGTAGTGCCTGGCCGTCCATTGTTCGGGCCCTCGCCTCGTGGAGGAAGTGCACAATGGAAATCTGTTGTTTTGAGGGAATGCGGTGATCTCGTTAGGTTTTTGAATCTGAACGGGGCTGAAGTCTGATTGCCATCGGCTTTCCTCTGAGCCTGTGAAGTCAATAACAGAGATTATCTACGTATCCGGAAGCTCAAGTTGGTCACGTTTAATCATAAATATTTACGAGCATGTTAAGAGCACAATTTAAAATGTATACATTATTTTTAATTTGGCAACTGTCTTCTCCAAGCCACTTTATGAAAGGAGTTTCATTTTGATTTAATAGCATTTTGCGCTATAATAAGTTACACGTAGTCTTATATTAAGAGTAAAAAAAGACGTTTCCATTTCATCCCACCGCCCGTTAGTACTGCTGTAACTACGACCGTCGTAAACTACACCGGTCCGTCCGTCCGTACGCTTGAAGTTTTTCAAAGGGTGCACATTGTCGGGGCCGTGGCTGCGACTTGCGCGACCCCCTTATTATCCGGCGGGGTGGGTCAGCAAGGGGGCGGCTGGGAGGGGGTCGGGTCCGTCACGTCACTGTCCCCGCATAGCCATCACGCCCGGGCTCGTTTGTGTCCCAAGTCTCCAAGTTGAAGGGTTGCGCCACGAAATGGATGCATTACTTTTTATCGTCGCGACGCTGTAAATTGCGACACACACGATAGCCAACTGGCTATTGTTTCGTATTTATTTCATGGAGGCCAAGAATTCGCTTGCGGATATTGATTTCGATCAATATCTCCATTCATGTACGAAGTGTAAAATGCGGCGTCTGCCTGTCTGTCGTGTCCTTTTGTTTGGTTACAATAATGTACTCGATTCGCACTATTATGTTATGAAAATACGTTATTTGACCAGATTTTACTAGCGTGTGGCAAATGTCGATGTGCTGTGGTTATCACTTAACATCAGGTGAACCGCCAGCACTCTTGACACCTTCTCACATAAAAAAATCTTTAGCAATATATCGATGTGTTCGTGTAACGAGTTAAGTTAACAGGAGACATCGGAAAAAACTTGTGCTCCGTCGGAAAAACTTCATCGTGGCTAATGCATTCGATCTCAAAGCGGCTGGGAAGTACGGGCTGTGTGTTTTTTTTTCTTTCTCTATTTGCCCGTATGCAATCACCTCGTCTTACGTCTGCTTGGCGCAATATCAATCCATCTGGCGGGTGGCGCGCCCTCAGTGGGGTGACCACGATGGAATCACGCAGAGGGTTTTACGGGTAAACCTTTTTTCATGTACTCTTAGATAGTCGTATTGCAGTTACGTGTTGTAGGCTCGTAGATATGTTGGCAATAGGCTTGCAGATACGTTGCTCCCTTTTAATAAAGTGGTATCCGGCTATCTCACTCACCAGACGAAACGCAGAAGTATAACACTTCCACTTCACGCCGGCCTTCTGTGAGGTAGTGGTACTTACCCGGACGGATCACCCCAATCCTGCAACAGCGAAGACTTGCGTGGTCTTACCACCAATATTTTTTTATTTTTTTGTGTTATAAAAACCGAATAGACAAAGTGATTTTCGGTTTTCTCATGTGACAAATGCTTGCGCTGTATCAAAAGAAGAAGGCAAAACACCGTTGATAGGAAAACCCTTGTTTATTTTTTCTATCCCATCATTATATCTAAATGCTTAAACGCAGATAAGCGCTATCGTCTACTGTCTACGACAATTTCGTTTTTAATGTGAATCTGTATCGCGCCACGTCTACGTCCGTACGAAGCGTGGCCACCCTAACAAGGGGCGGCGGGGCGCGTGGGGGCATCACGTCAGTCTTAAATGACTGTCACGGGTGCACTCGGGCATCCGGGCGCCTGAGGAGCGGCGGACGGACGGCCGCGCCAGATATTGCCTCGTTACTTGTTATTGCACTGTTATGTTTTGAATTTCACTCCGCGCACCTGGGCCGTGCCGCGAGCCTTCCTTATACAGCGACGGTGGGAGGCGGGGAAAGTGGGAAGCGGTATTACATAAGGTTCCGATTAATTTGGCATTGTTTAAACTCGCGCGTCCGTTTGACTCCACTTAATCGGGTTCATGTTCAATAGATGCGAATAGACAGTGTTACCTCCTCTATTTATGTTTTATTACATGACTCCGTGGTACATTTGCCAATATGTGATCGTGGGTTCGATTCCAACACAGGACAACTCTTTGTGTGACGGATAATTGTTTCAGATCTGACCAATAAATGTTTTTTTATTTCATGAAACAAAACGTTCTTACAACACATTCTGTGTTGTAAGGACGTTTGTTATTAAAGACGTAATGTTAACTACAGTAAGGGCAATGTTAAAAATTTGGGTGATAAACAAAGAGACGTAAGTGAAACGCATTCAATAACTGGTATATCATAATGTATCAGTACGGCAAGTCTGGAATTCAAAAGGGGAAATTGTTAATGTAAATGTCATATTTTGCGTAAAACTTAGTAGACTTTGCAGTGCAAAACATTTTTCGCATGGCATATGAACGCGCACCGGAACGCAGACCTCATAGAGTATATAATAGGGGGTCTCTGATCGCTTGTCACTTGGTGTCGACTCGTCTCGCGGTGTCGGTGTGTTCGCTTTGCGCTGTCCACTCAGGTCTTATTCAGCGTCAATCGGACCCACGGGCCGGGACGTACCGTGGTGGGTTTATCTATTTTGCTCTGCTCTTGGAGCACGGCATTTGATGGTGCTGTCCTGTACGCTGGTTGTACAGTCGCAGATCAGAAAGATACGTTCGAAATTTGAGAAAGTGTATATTGGTTCTAGCAGACATCTGCCCCGACAGATATCCTGATTTATAAGTGCAACAGATGTTATAAGGTGACATTAAAGTTCAAAGAAATACTGCCATATTTAAGGATATAAGTGTAGTAGGTTCGACGACATGCAACCCTATATTTAAAAAGTCAACAGATGAACATTAAAAATTAAGAAATATTTATTAGAAAAATAAGTAAGTATGAAACTTGGCTAAATGGATACATCCATTGTCTATAACCTTATTAAGTTAATAATGCATATACATGTATATGCATTATGTATATATACATATAGGACTGGAATTTAATTACGAATTTAGTTCTAAAAAAGCTAAACAAAAAATCTTATACAAGCTAATTCGATTTAAAATAGAAGAAACCAATTATCCTATTTTTAAAAGACATTGACTGTTCATTAACTATCGAATACACAAGTTGATATCGAGTTGTATTTTTTTGCGTAACGTAGATGAACAAAATAAAGTTCTTAGTAGGATGTTCCTCATATTGTAAAAACTGATCGATGCACAAAGTATAATGTGCTAAAATATTTAGTAACAAAATGCAAAATACGTAATGGCATATAGTTTAAAGGTGGAAACCAATGAAAAAGGATTGGTCTAACGAAGTTTTTTTGATACGATGACCTTATTTTACCTATTCAATCGACATTTTAAGGTGTCGTAAGTAACCACTTTACAAGTATACACTATAGTACAGTGTAGTATAATAGGACTATACTTTAGTAGTGTATGCCGCTCAGCCGGCTGGCCATTTCCCTGCCGACCGGTTCGTCCACTCCTATCGCTACTTAAGCACAACGCTACTATCTTGTAAACGTCACTTCGACTCGCTTGTTAATCAAACGACTTCCGGCGGTCGCTACGTCGTCTGTCATAACAGCTGACGTCCTTCCGTCAGGCTGATATGTGTTCTCCCGGCTGCTAGTATAAACTTCGCGGTTTCTATTTAACATTCTTTCTGAGGAGTTCTTAGGAGACCTAATAAACTCCGGGGTGGGGGGGGGGGGGGGAAGACAGTCTAATTAAGGGACGTTGATCTTTGAACAAATTTTCAGAATAATGGAAATTTCTTGTGGCAACTCACGCACGAAGTTTCCTGCCGCTCGACTAGCAGTATACCTGATTGCAATATTTTGCGATATTGCGAAACTTTGTTACTTAACTTTCAAAGCCAGATTAAACGATAGTCGCTGTATGGCAGTTGACAGCTGGCTGATGCGTAGCTGAAAATCGTGGCTTATATATTGGTAACAGTGAACTACTTAAGTTCGACGGTGGTGACAGTGATTTGTTATATCATGAGGATAGTTCATACCTAATCTAAAAGAAAGCAGAATTTACCGAGAAGGGTAAAATAACGTCCTTATATACGTGGACTTTTAATATTCAAGTAGCGTGCTGTTTGAATATAGTTATTTGAGTTAACGTCGCATGAACTCCCCACGCTCTCGCAGACTTTCGTCAACACGTCACACTCACTCGATAGGAACTTGGCGCAAATGGAGCCGAAGAGCACCAACAGTTTAGGCGAAACGTCGCGGGTTAAAGCGAGCGTCGGCCCAACGGGGAGCGTTCGCTTGCATTATCAACCCGCGTCGGGATGACGCGAGCATCGCTGTCGCTCCCACGTCCCCGAGTTTGCTCGGCGCCGTTGGAAATTTCACTTCAGACTTGACGGCGCGCGGCCCAAGTCACCGGCGGATCGGCTCTAGGCGACCTTAGAATGCGCACACATCATACGCGCAAAAATCTTTGCATACCCATACAAACATGCACCAAATATTTGACCAACTTAAAATCACAGAACATTTTCAAAAGACACGATTTTTAGATATCATTTAAGTGATCTCTTTAAGTTATCATCAATCACTTAGAGAAATTGTTAAGTTCACTTTCAGAAATATATGTGCACGCCACTGAAGATAAGCTCGGCGTGACAATGCAGTTCCAAGGTATATAAAATACACTGTCAGACCTTGATTTTAAAGATATTTATTTACTGGATATATAATATGAAGTATGTGACAAAAAATCACTAGCCTCAGAATGCGGACGTTCGCAGGCTAAACAGAAATATGAAACACCATTATGAGACCAACATTTACGCGTCGTTTACGATGTCAAGCTACCCGCCTTTAATATCTAACGAGATCCTGATAACTGATAACAATGGCATGTCGCGAGCTTTCACCCAAAGAAGGTTATCACGAAGAGCTGCCCGCTGCCACTTGTGCCGCGTGCCGCGCGCGCCCAAGTCAGTCCTGTCACGTCAGTGCCGCCGACTGTCTCGCCGGCGATGACAGCCCGCGACTGAATTGTTCCGCGCCACTTGTGACGCGCGTCGCCGCGTCTTCGTTTATTTCGGTGGTGCAACGTTATCGATTGCCCGCCAAACGGCCGCCTGACACAAGACGTCCAATATCTCAAACGGACGACGCTGGAACTCACTGTCGGCGTGTCTAAGGTGACGGATCGATTGCGAATAACTTGTTATACGTGGCCCGGTGGATGCTATTCGTTTTGCAGTAATTACAATTTATAGATCATTTTCCGATAGGCTGCCAGGCTCGAATACATTCAACTTTAAAGACTACCTCACTCACCAGACGAAACGCAAGTGTAACTTCTACTTTACGCTGGTCTTCTGTTAGGTCATGGTACTAACCCAGACGGACCTGCCCAATAGTGCAACAGCGAATATTGTTGCGTGGTCCTACCGAAGTGAAGTACGTATGTACCGTAGTATGTACCGAATGTCAGACTTGATAATGAGTTAGTTGAACCCTCTTAGGATTAAAGACGTAGAAGCTTGCCGTGTAGCGTCTTCAGTTAAAAAGTTTGGTCCTTATATGGCATTTAAGAATGTCGCATTGGTATTTAAGCATATCGCAGGTGAAATGCACGTCATTTACGACAGTAGGAAATGTCCTTCATTTATTAGCGAAACGCCAAACGAAACCGTAATGAATAGAAGAGGCGAAGTGGAGGGACAAAGACGGGCGGGAGTGGCGCGGACGTCGCGTCAACGTCGTCTCTCGTCACGGAGCAGTTGGGACACTAGAAGAGGTATTTACCTGCCTTTTTTATGTGAAAAGGTAGCAAACGAACAGGCGGTTCACATGATGTTTGCAACACCCGTAGGGTTGTAGATGAGTTGCTACCTTTCAGAAGAATAATACTTCCACTTCACGCCGGTCTTCTGTGAGGTCGTGGTACTTCCCCGGACGGACCTGCCCATTCGTGAAAAAGCGAGGACTGTTCCGTGGTCATACCATAGTGAAACCCGTTACTGACTGTTACCAGTTGGAAAATATTATATTAGCTATTATAACAAATGTCATTGAACATTTTTACCAACGAATATTCCAATTTCGAACTATAGAATTAAGAACTTAATATTCAACGTTAGTATGTTTGAAATAAAAGAATTTCGAAAACACGAAAGAACTCCTCACGGTGTAAATTTGTCTCTTATATTTATTTTTGTGTATTTCATAAATTTTGCAATACTTTTTCCATACTGTATCTTGAATTTCTATCATCGACTCAATGCAAAGTTCTTTTAACGTTTATGATTGATCAACCATGAAAAAAATATTTTAATAAAAAAATATGGGTACTGTTAATTCATAAACGTAATTGATGAATGTATATTTTATATAACGGCCCTAAAAGTTTCATACTCGTAGTATCATCATAACATGTCTTTATTGAACATTGGTATTCAAATAATTTGTCACTTCTAGTTACTCTAAGCCAATGCAAAGTCGCCGTCAAGTTCTGTAGCTGAGTTTGATTGCAGATTTAATGGTTACGACAAGTTAGTCTAACTGTACCGCTCTAGTTTCACGTGTTTATTCTAGACGTCTGCGAAACTTGAAATTGTAATAAAATTATATTTTGACCATTCTGGTACGTTTGCAGATTATTTAAGTGTACCTTGAGTTTTAAGGTACGTTAAAAGATGGAAGTATTTAATGTATAAAATAAGATAACTCAGATGAACTCCTGACTTTTGTCATGTTAGGCTATTAACTAAAATATATATATATATATATATATATGTATGAATATAATATTTTCTTACTGATGCTTATTCCAGCTTAACTGCATCACTATGTATTATATTTCTATAAGACAATAAGACAAACCATAGATTTTCAGTAAATTGTCTCGTTATCGTCTATGTGTCAGCCAAAAAAGGTATGCAAGTAAGGTAATAAGTAATCCTCAATCTCTCCATATCCCTTAGGGCGACGGGCTCGAGATTTTAAGTATATATTACAAAAGCCTTACAGTAATATTTTCCACCCACGACGCTCTCGGGCGCACTTTAAACAGAGGATATTTGAAATTCGGAATATGGGAGTCTATTATCGTGCATTATCCAAGGAGTGGAGTGCAGTAGCAGTTCGCCGGCGAAATAACAAAAAGCCTGCTCACCCACCCGCAGTCTGCGCGGCGTTTGTCGCTGACAACCCGTCACGTCAGCGTGTCGCCTCTGCCTTTCCGGTTCCACTAGCTTCATGTCGCGAAAAATGTCGCGTGACACGCCACGTGCACTCGCCAGTATATAGTGTTACGCTGAGGATGGTGGGCGCTTTAAACATGTATTGTGAAGGAAACTCGAAGATGAAGGGCAAACAAATGAACTGGTAGAGCAATCGTCAATAAAGGCAGATTACGTTAACAGTCGGCGCGTCGTCTTTGACTATATTCATGGACAAAAATAATTGACTATGTAACATACCAAGGAGCAATCTCTTATTTAACTAATTTTCGGATTAAATTTAATCATAAAAGGCACTACGACATCTCGGATCTGCGATATCTAAAATATCGCCAAATCATGCCATAAGAAAGTTTAATTCACTATTAAACAGTTTCATATACGGATTCTCTACAGGATAGTAACCCAAACTGCGGCAAAGTCTTGCCAGCGTTAAAACTGTCAAACAATTAACCGTTTCGCCCGCAGGCGGCGCGTGCCCCGTCCCAACAAAGACACATCAAAGGAGCCGCGTATGCACTTGATCGCCGCAGTGGCTGACGTCCATCGATTGTCGGGGGGCGGCCACCCCCGGGGGGAGAAGAAAGCTTTAAAAACAGAGAGCCAGCGGCGTCTCAGCGACGGACCAATACGTCCCCGTTCGGCCCTCGATTACGAGCGCCGCTGCATACGCCCCAGTAGGGTTGTCGCTACACAAAAGATATTTTTAATTTATATGATTGAACAAATTTAATTTTTTATAGTGCTAATCTCCGCACTTAAGACTAAACATTAAAATTTATATAAAAAAAACGAAAAGTGCCGAAGACATGGGTTTGATTCCCACAGCGGCGACATTTTGTAGAAAAATCTACAAATTTTAATTTTTTACGATTTAACCTTAATGGTGATCACAAACTTGGATTAGATTGTTGTTCTAATAACTTTATTTTATTATATATTATGCGTTTTTTATACATATACATACATTTTTAAAATCGAAATATTTGGGACACAGATATCTCACTAAAAAGCATTGTTGTTTGTTTTTCATGCATGTACCTAGTATTTTTATATTTCATCGGACAAAATGTAAAGCAATGAAAGAAGGAAAAGACATTAAGCGAGGATCTCATACAACTATATGAGATCCACGCTTAATGTCAAGGGAATGATATAACACATAATACACCATAAATCGCAAGTGCGTTTATATGCTACAATGAAATTATATTAAAATGTCAGTATCGACTTATTATATATTTATATATGTTATATATATAATATATATAAATATATAATAAGTATATATTATGTATTACTGACACTGATCTGAGCTAGTTCAGTCTAGCGTCAGTTAATATATGAATATTTATCTTTAGCGCACATTTTTCATAAGTACTAGCCAATTCACGGTGGGAGCTTTAGCGCACAATCGTGTCTGTCAACCCTAGCCGGCGGCTGGCTGGGCGCGCACACACAACACACGAGAATCAGTAATACAACATTCGTTATTTTTCGCCACCTTCGCAGCGTATTGATCAGTCCTCATTGGCGCCTGTGCCAATCGTGGCAGGTGCAACATTGTGACACGCAGATGATTCTAGATGTACGATTCCCCCGTGCATATACAGCGTGTCGTTACCATCGTGACCATAAATGAACACACATATAGGGGATAACTTTTTAAAGTTGTATTAAACATTTAAATTCTTTAAACATCAATATTTACAGAGTTATTAAATTTTCCAAAACAAAAAATTTTAGAACACCCTTACCTATAAAAGCGTAACGTAAAGTTCATTTGTAAAGGTCACGAAGCATATGAATGGGTTGAATGAATTTAAAAGTGACAAAACATACTGTTAGAAGGAGAGGCTTGTAATACGACGCTGTGGCGCGAGTTGTTAGGATTTTACAAATTTTGTTTCTTTTTTAATTAATTAGTTTGTATGAAAAAAAAATTTAATTATGGATTTTGTTTAACGTTAATATTTATTTATGATTATTGGCAAGTAGCGTTAGACGTGTGTTCATTTATTGTCGCGATGGTAACGACACGCTGTATAATTACATATATTGTAATTAATTGAAATTTAAAATTTAAAGTTTAGTTTCATTTAATATGTGTTTTATGCGAATATTTCGCGTAAAAGCAAGAAATCAATACACGTACATTCCCACAATAACCTTGATTTAACTTAGAATTGCATACTTAATATAACGAAACTTTGATTCAGTCTAAGTTCAGAATTACTTTTCATTAAAAAGTGAAGAAAGAAAAATGATTTTTTTGTTTCTACCCTCCCGAAACTTCACATAAAGCGTGGTTGTCTCTCATTTGTAATACAAGAATAGATGATTTTGTACTTATTATTGCTTATTCTGTTAAATGAGGTATACAATTCCATATTTGTAATGATATCTTGATACAGACTAGAGATAGAGACGACACTTCAAAGAAACGCTGAATAGAAAATTAAAATAGCGACCAAACTTCCGAGAAACTGTCCAACGGTAGCGAGTTTTCCCGCGCAAAACGGACAAGGAAACGAAAGTGCAGCTCATTATGAGCGAGACAGACGGTCAAACGGAGGCTTGTCTGCTTACACGTCACCCGAAATTACTATCGGCTGGAACTTTTCAAATTAAAGTTGGAGATTAAATCGACTTCAGTATAGAAACGTAAGAGTTGTGAGCCGTGAAAGCGTGCACTTTGGGGTGATTGGCTCAGAGTGGAGGGGGCAGGGGGGGGTTGTTAGCTCACCCGCGTGGAGTTAATTAGGTATTTTATTTCATTCCAATCCTTATAAATTAATAACGACATCTCTTTAATTATTTATTAAAACTAGATGTTAATTATAAATGATTATTCTATTATTTTTAAACAACATTCACTCACTTATCCTACATATATCCATGCTTATAAAGTGATTGAAAAAGTGCGGCCAAGTGCGAGTTTGACACGCGCACGAATGGTTCTGTTCTTGTATGTTTATGAAATACAGCCTGGTGACAGAAGGACAGACAGACAGACAGCGGAGTCCTAGTAGGTAGTAAGGTTTTCCATTTTACCCTTTGGGTACGGAACCCTAAAAATTGTTGGCCCGATACGAGTTGCAGCTGTAAATAGTCTAGACAGTTTCGAATATCGCGATGGAGGACATTTCAAGTAAGGAATAATAGCAGTTAATATTTTGTTACCTGATGTACATTTGTTGTTTTCGCCGTTACAAGTGAAAGTAACGCGGACGTGAGCGTTTGCGTCTTAAGATTGGGCGATTGTGAAACCTTAATGTCGCCGATTGACTGAGTAATGTGACAGTTTAATTTGCCAATCGCAACGGCGGTCGATAGGCGGGCGTTCGAAGGGAGCGTTTCGCGCGGCGCGGTTTATATCGGCCGGCTTGTTACGAAACAGTTTCTTTCGTTTCGACAGTTCGCTAATGCGGGTGTGCGCTGGGCTGGTGGGGCCAAGCCATGAGCGGATAGCGGGTGTCGGAACTGACTCTACTTAGCTATAAATAGAGCTTTGTAAAGACTGTATGTGTTAAGGCATGTCATGTCAACTAAATACCAAGGAAAGATTCAGATTTAATCGGACTAATATATGATAATTTGTAACTTCAAGATTAATTTACTTCGAATATATGTGTAGACGATGTGAAAATTTCTTTGGAAAAAAACTTTGTTTTTTAATTAAAAAATTTTAGTCTTTTACAAAATGTATCTTACTTCCTATTAAAATTCACGATTAGACAAACTGATACAGTATATCCCTCTAAAGTAAAAACCAGTAATTTGTTCTGTTCCTCTGTAATCAGGGAGAATAGTATAAGGAAAAATTTGGTAGGTCATTTAATTGTTGTTTAAGATCGTTAAGTTAAATCGCTTTTAATGCGGCTTTCATTCGCACCACGTCACCTGCTTTTTAATCGCGAACTTTCTGCTGTTTTAATTAACTTGACGTTTGCAGTTACAACTGTGTTGATTTGTTCGCGAACATTCGCCGCGTACGGGCGCAATGCTAACTTGCAAAAAGCTTTTCTTAACGACCCTACCCCATACCTCGACATCTGTACTACTAACTTTACTCGATGTATTGGCTGCGTGTTTTCCAAAACGAGTAATTTCCGAGGCATTGAAAGCTCTAAATGAGTTTATTTAATTTATATGAATCTCAAATAAAAATTTCTGTTTAACACTGTTTATAATTAATAACGTTGGACGGTACTCAAGTCAGGAATTTAATAAACAAATCACGTCAATTCCTCAACTCACTGAGGTTCGAAAGCGACTAAAAATCGCTTACTATAAATGTCCAATAAAAAGAACTTTTATGATAAAATGGTGTGATATATAGTTATTCAACGTGTATCTGATAAAAAGATCGTTAAATCCACTATTACTGTGTTGATTAAACGTTCAAATTGCCGGCTAACTTGAGCCATTACAGGGATAGCTCGAAACGAACACGTCAGCGAAAGTTGCACTAAAACTCTAACTGAGAGAGGTCCGGCCTCGGAATTAATTAGGCCTTTATAGGCACGCCTGGATAACGTCACGGCGGGGAAACGACAAGTCCGAATTTTCGCGTTCGGCCGAAATGTCGCGGCGAACTTTCGCAGCGATTTCGAAAAAAACCCTTTCAGCAAGTTCGCGTGACAGATTAGACATGAACTACTTAACGCGTGTCTCGTGTAGGCGGCTTTAAGTGAGTTTTTCTATTGGCTCGTCGACATTTTAACCCAGCGAAGAGTTTTGATGGCTACGTGAAAACTCATTGGTGTACGCCACAATTTTGTTTCTTTTTCGAGTGGTTCCGAAAATACTCCTATTGTCCCTTAACATTTCAACTCAATAAGTGTTTGTCAGAAAAGAAGCTTTTAGTGCAATAACTCGAACCTAATTTACGATCAATGCAATTTTTAGAAATGGAAATTCCCTAAATCTTCTACAAAAAGTCTATCCTCGTACTTTTTACATCAAGTGTTATCGCTGTATAATCAAAACGCGTACTATCCAATAAAAGTAACACATGTGCCCCAGCCCATCGAGCCCACTGTATTAACTTTAATTAAAATGTATGATAACGTTGACCCTACTAAAGCGTCCCCGCAAAATAACTGACTTCCCAAAGACATAACCCGAAATTGGATTACGTCGAAACGCGACCTCGACGTCAGTGCCTCGTAAATATTTAAAAAAAAACAACAACCTCAACCCGAAGGCGGGCTATCGCGATCTCTTGGCCCCTAAACTGCGGGCGTTCGGGGGCCCGCGCGATATTAGGGGCAGGTAGGGCCGATAGACGCTGATCCCCATCACGGCGCTGCGAAAGGAATCAAATTAGATATACAATAAGCGCGGTCGTGGCCCCATTTACATAAGTATCCGAGCTATTCGCTGCCACGATACGAGATTGCGGCCGGGCACAATATTGCCCGCGCCTCCTCGGCTTTGCCGCCTGACGTGGATCCTCCGCCGCCCTTCTCTTACTCTCAATAACCCACTGATCGAAATGTCCTACTATCGATGCCTTTCCAGTAAATATCGAAAAGTTTTTATTCACCTTCGATTTTAGTTTTGCGCCGGCCAAAAGTAATGCATGCAATATCAAAACTTAGATAAAAAAGTATTACAAATTACTGTTGATTTCGTTAACAATACATAACATTACATATTTGCTAAAGTTTTATCTATACTAAGCGTTGTTCTGCATTGTAACCGGGTTCGGGATATTAACAACACCGAAAATCCAATGGAACGCGCCGTCAAATCCATTCAAATATGTAGTAGAGGACGTTAAATAAAACATGGACGTGAGAGACTGGCCCCAATAAAAAGTTCGCACTTCATAAAATAAAATTCGATCAGGGTGGGTCGGGACGTGGCGGGCTGTTGTAAAATTCCGGATTACGGAAAGGGTTCAGCCAGTTCCGGCATCGGTTTGCGAATGTTGGAATTTTACAGTTACATGAAGACCTTTACGATCCTGACCTTATACGATTAAGTTTATAAACTACAGTGAGAGGAGTTACACTTCGAAAAGGTGTCTACACTTTAATATGGTAAATGATTTGTGTCTATACAGAACCTCGCTGCTTAATGATACTTGATCGTGATAGATAGAAAACAATAGATGCAGAAAATTAAGGCGCTTAACTTGGTTCTCATCAATCTTCAACATATCTTGAATCATTTTCTAAGACAAAGGGTCCTTTTAGAAGATGAAGACGAAATTTTAATATAAAATATTGGCTATAGAATATTATATGATATATTGGTCGATAATAAAGTTATGGGAAAATAAACAGACGATTAAGAAATCGTTGGCCATCGCAGGTGTCAACTTAATTGCATGGAGTTTTAATAGCAAGCAGGTGTTTATTAAATTCTCTCACTTCGATGATGTATCGCGTATGACACATTTATGACTTTATTTTAATAAAAACTTTTAGTCTATTCCTAATTAAATGATATGTGAAGTTTTTATTATAATATACTTATACAATTCTGACAACGAATTTCTTAATCTTTTTAAACTAAAAAAAAGTCTATATTCAGTTCAATAACACGTGTTAGTATATATATTGTGTAATTCATGTCCTTGCCGCATAGAGTTAATTCATCTTTATCTCTGATTTGTGCAAGGTGCTCTGCGATAGACTCAATCTATAACGATAGTTATTTAATAAGCTCCACGAAAAGCAGATCTAAGACTCAATCTAAAGAAATACTGATTTGTTCTTGTCTGTCTTCTGTATTTTTTAAACATTACCTAAATGGTAGGTAAAGAAAGGTAAGATTGTAATTTGGTCCACAACATTCATGTTGGGATTTTGCATTTCTTGTTCATCTAAAACTAACAACTTCGCATTTTATCTTCAGTTTTATTTTTCAAACCATTACGAAGACCTTGATTTGACTGGTCAATAACGTGATCGAATTTTGCGTGCGAAATAAAATAAACGTTAAATGTAGTCGCCGGAGATCGCGCGTCAAGCCGACACCGCGGCGGGCACTATCTTTCGACGCGGCATACCAGCCGATATTAAATCCAGTTCGTCCTATAAAGAATTCCGATGGACTCCCCTCGTCCAACGTGTCCCCCGTCTAAAGAAACACGCGGCCCTCGGATTTAGGGCATTTTTGCGGTGGCCGCTATCCGTGGCATATTATTCTGCATTGTTCTGTTCCCATACTTTCCTAGATTTATTGAAAGTACCTAGCTCGTTTAGTACACAGGTGTTCCGTGCATCCGGATATATAAATTTCTTTTGATAGACAAAAAAACGATGAAACTGTGAAAAATTACAAGGCATACATACGCATATACGTATACATTTTTAAACTTACTACTTTATAAATAAAACAATATGTTGATAAAGAAAACAATTTAACATTTGTGACCATTAAAACATTAGTTTTATTTTATTTAAAAGAATAAAGGCATTGACAATGATCGAATTTTATTGGTAGATTGTATATTTTCCGAGAATACTTTTACTAATTTGTTTCATATATTTGTTTCAGGTAATTTCACATCTGAAACCAACATGAGATAAGCCCTGTTTAAGCATTTCAGGAGTAAGTTAATGCAAGGAGATAACGCTGAAAGAGTTATGACTTTGGATGTGGAGCACGACTAGCGGTCTATTTACATTTTTATAACTATTAAAATACTTAAAAAATACAAAATTTGTAGAATTGCTTGAATATCTCTTCGATACCTTTATGTAATTTTAGGAGTTATTTAGAATACCCTACATTAAATTAAACTATTTTATGGATTTCGCGTTAAAATCAACGCGATAAAATCCGTAAAAATAGTTTCATTTAATTCATGTAAAGTCAAGAAATCAATATAGAAGAACGTATAGTTTAAATATTTCAGTACCTAATATATAATTTTTAAGATCATTCGTTATTAGACGGTCGCATTACGCATCCGTTATTATTATAGATGTGTAATATTTGAAACGGATCTCATTTGTCCTTTCCTAGCATCGGTTAGTCAAAAATTATACGTGGATTTACTGAATCAGATATTCGCTCTATAACTAAGGCATTACAGTTAACCCACTTGTATAACGGATTGAAATTTATTGAAATATCTTCATTAATGAAACCACAATAAAGCTCACATTAATGAAAAGTGGAATTAACGTATGACAAAAAATGGAACGTCATCTCGACTGTATTACGTTTCATTTCGCGAAACGTATCCAGGTGAGCATTCCCGTTAATGCGGCCTTATCCCGCGGTCCGGCATTGCCAATCATCCCGGGATCACGGCGCCCGGGATTGAAGAGGCCGATGCCGGGATAATGTTAAGTGCATCTGAATACTCCGTCCCACGTGGGATGCTTTCGAATTATTCATTTTTAAACGTCAAAGTCGAGCAGGATTTAATTTGATGATTTCTGATTTTTATTTAATCGCTCAATTTTGCAACAGTTACGTATTGTACTGTATTAGCAAGGATTCGTTTAATTTTAATGATTTTTGTCCAGCATTGAAGATGACAAAGTCAAATTTATGTTAATCGTAATATTGTTTAGAGATTTTATTGTCATGCCTGCAAATTTATACCAATCCAGTAAAGGCTAATGCATAGAAATTTAAATGAAGTGATACATATTATTTCTAAATCTCTATTAATTTATACGCCTTTTAAACAATATGCTTACATTTTTACTCATACAGAATGTCAATTTAATTGCCATCCCTAAGTTTCTGAACTCACTCAGTTCTTTTTATTTATGTTTATCAATGTTTCCAATACAATGTTATTCTTTACTTTAACTCCCAAATTACCATTTCATCATCATCATAATTATTTCAACCTCAACACAAACAAGTACATACCGCTGAACATAGGCCTCCCCCATAGACTGCCACGAAGTACTCTGCAAAAATATTCACAAATCGCCTTTAATGGGCAGCATTTTGCTCTTGAAGCATATAATTATCATTATATATATTATCATATTATATAAATATCTTGATATTTCTTGAATCCATCCAATTCCATTGGATTAGTTTATAGAAAGCTACTAAAACATTTTTATTGATTTTGATAATCAAAAAAACCTTACCTGATACCGATACCTTAATATACTTTAAATGGTAAAAGTTCTCAGAAATGTTGAAAATAGTAATTGGTGGGATCGTTAATCAGGCACGATTACTGTCAACTCGAAGTGATGAATGATGGAGGAGGCAGGATAATTGGGCATTAACTGATGGCTTGTCATTCTAGCGCGTCACCCCTGATCCACGTCGGCTGGTATTGTGTCACGAGCACTTATAGAAATGCTTCGCTGAGAAATGTTTATTACCTTGATTGGAGCATTTTTTTTAATTTACCTTAAAAAAACAAGGGCGAAAATTCTATACAAAAGTTTATAGTTATTATCTATGTTTCTAGATATTTCTCATCCCGTTTCAAATGTGTTTTTGTATGATAACATTTCATGTTAAATAAAATCTGTCGTCTGACGCATATATTCAGTGCCAACCGTACAAGTAACACATTTTGTACGACTCCGTATAGCATGATGGTCTGCAGCACACAAAGATATCCGTCGTAACAAAATAAAAAACAACTTCATACAACAAAACAACTACATACACACACACATGCATGGCGCGACTCAATGCGCACATGCAAAGCCTCGCGAACAACCCGTGAGAGAAATGGCGCACACACGCGCTGGCTGTGGCCGGCGGAGCGCGACGTCCCTGCGGAAGCGGCATTAAAACTTTTGAGTGATTTCGCTCAGTCAAACGCTGCAAGACGGCCGTGGTCCGGCTAGGACCCGACCGCAGGGTGACCACGCGTCACCGCGAAATATTAACGCTTGTTCAGTTCACTTTGGTGTCAAGTCGATACTATGTCTGAAGATATGATTTGGGAAAGTTTAATGAGTCGCTTGAAACCAACATAAAAGCTAGAAGTACATCCAATTACTACCAATAGCTACATATTGTCGGAGAAACTATACGCTCAGATGACGGTTAAGCACTGTCGTTAATGATGGCTTACGTTGGAATGTCAAAGGTGAAAAAATATGGAGGTTGCTCCGACTACATTGGACTGCCCTGAGAAGCAAGGAGTACATGTTAAAAGAATTATAGGTTACACCGCCTCTACAATATGTCGGAAACGAGACTTTTTCCGAGACTTTATGCATTTTATTTATTTTTTGTAGGTTTATTTTGAGACAGGCGTGCACAAGATCACCTGCAAATAGGTCCGAATGTAGTGGATGACTGTTACAGACATCGTTCGGTCCATACAAATTACCGACTGTACCTAGTGGAGAATTTATTTTGTGACATATTATAATTCTCCACTGGGTGATCCTCAGCCATGAGGATAATAATTTTCCTGATCTTCCCGAACTCATAAGAAGCGTGGTCACCCGCATGCAGCGGAAGTGGCGATGGCTCGAGCCGGCACGAGTGCGCGACTAATTCGTGGACAGTCGACGTTTCATTCTGTCGGCCATCGTAACTTAATACCGATTGTGTTACGAATCGTTATCTAATTCCCGCGACGAAGCCAATTATGATCAATAAGAATCACCGACACAATTATTTATAGAGTTTTTCCAGTACATTTTTTCATCATTTACTGATTCTACTAGCGTCCCACCTGATGGTAAGTTTTCAATATTGATAGGTTTTAAATGCATTCGTAAAACAACCATCTAGAAGTCTCAACGGAATCGGACAATAGAGGGACCGCTCTAAGAAAAAATCATTCCTTTTTATATCGATTTACCAGTGTGTCCATTATTTTTCGTTTGACGGATAAAAATTTAATAATATTAAACATGTCGATATTCGATTCTCGATTTGCGCAGACACCGCGAGTCACATGCCGTCTATTCAGAGCGTCTAAATAAATGCCGGACGGCATCCCCATTATCAATTGGACATCGCTAAGCGTCCACACGTCCTTGCTGGGGTGGCCGGGGCTGGGGCTGGGGGTGGGGGTGACGTCTCCATCGTCCGTCGTCAGCGGCAGATCAATGCCGGACAACCCCACCTGGACTTTTAATTCCAGAGGAGACGGCATGCTACGCGTCTCCTCTTTGTCTTTCGACGTGTTTTAGATTTTTTGCTCGCTCTGCGTTTTCGCGAGGACCATCTGAAGTTGTATCATTTCATTCCGTCCAGTTGTTGTGTTTAAATTTTGTGAGTTTGTTTTCTTTTATTGCGTCTAAAATCGTATCTGTTTTTTATTTTCAAATTTATAATTTTGGCACAGATTGCACTAAGGTCTCTTTAAACACTTTAAAAATGTTCACAAAAAATATTTACCTACTTGTCAACATAAGTAAGAACTTAAAATCTATTAGGATTAATAGAAAACGACCTTTTTAAATACACATTCTTAATTGCTTAGTTGCGTAAACGACGTTTCTGTTTTTGCTCCTTTTTTAAATACACATTATTTCCATTCCGTTCGCGGACGCAGCGTTGAATGGGTCACAGATAAGATATTTTTTATTTTTTCGAGCGGAACTCTACCCTTTCGACGTTATCTCGATGACGTCACGGGACATCTTGTTCCTGTCGCTATGGAGAGTGAAGCCTTTATGAAATATTCGTCGGAAAAATCTAAAGATAATTCACTTGACAATTCTTTTTTTCCTTCTGGTCCCCGCAATTTAAACAAACCCTTTTTAAATTTAAATGTTTTGACGATCCATGTAACTTCTTGTATAGACGTAAATGAAACATAAATATCTGCCGATTTCAACAGGTTAGTACAAAATTTTTTTTTACCACGTACGATGTACTATAGTCGTAGTTCATAAACACACTACCAAATAAAGGGTTATAATTCGAGTTATATTTAAAATGCAAGAAAAGTCATGTCGTATTCATATAGTGGTAGACTTTGTTATCTCAGCTTTAATGGTTCAACATCGATTGTAAGAAAGGAGTTATTTATCCCTTACGTCATCCTCATAGCATTCCGCTAAACAATGGAGGTCGGGTGAGTGTGTCGCGCGAGTAAATACCGCCCCCCGGCTTCGCCCGCCCCCGGGTGCCCGTTTCGTTATCACGTCCCGGACATAATTTAAGACGGGAGTCAAAGGGAACGGCTGCCCTGGTCCGTCTCTCCCGGCCAGTAGATCCGTCACCCGCATCTGCAGCTCGACTTTTTTTAATGACAAACACAGACGAGACTTTGTTCTTTACGATCGGGTCGGCTTGCTTCGCACTAAGCCACGTACGGATGAGATCCTTTTAGAATTTGTCGCCGTGGTATGTCGTGCGCCGATGTCAGATTAAGAATTTAATAACTAATTTCGACTACAACTTAAAAACATTATATCGTAATCTACCAGTAATATTGTCTCATCATTGAAAATAACAGTCAAAGTTTTCTTATACAAAATACGCATCTGCGGGTTGTTGTTTAAATGGCTGCAGGAAGAAAAAAAAGGATAGATATCATTTGTTGTCAAATTTTGCGCTTCGATTATAAAAGGAGAGATCGGACGGGAAAAGAGATCGAGTTATTTTTTACGTGCCGCGTTTAACGGTAACGGGGCATCAGTAATTTAATGTACCATATTTATATCGGGTCCATATTTCACAGCCGTGTGTCACATAACTCATCCGTCCCGCGACTGAGCCGAGGCGAACGCATGCCTCAAGCAGATCCGATTTGCGTGACACACTGCCTTAACGTGCCTCGCAGATTATCCCCGTGACGTAATTATTTACGGGCACGTGGACCTATGAACTAATGGCCCTAGCTATGAGCACTAACATACCTTAGTAATTGTATGAACTGTGCAGAGTACCTATACGAGGGTTTAAAATCATCTTTTTCTCTATCGAATGTGGCAGTCGTTCTCTAACGGTATGGTAATTTCGTAGAGAGCAATACACTCTGATAATGGTTCGTCTTTTACCCTCCGTTGAGAATCAAATCTAAAACTTACAACTCCGTATATGCTTGGCAGAAGCAGGTATTGGAGGCACAAAGTGTAAAAGCACACAGAAGAAAATGTCATATAGATATGGCATAAATAAATTCTTCGCGTGCCAGCGTGGTGCAATAATATATCAAACAAAGTCAAAATATTAGTCAGTTCTTCTAAGAATCGAAAGGTTATCTTAATATAAAATATATCAGTTGATGGTACAGTCAAATTGAGGCGCCTTGACGTCTTGAGATAAATAACAATTTATCTGTTCATAGTTCGATGCAAAAGCGAAGCTTTCAGCCACCGTATTATACGTTGTATGTTTTATCGTATTACTATTGTTTATTAAGAGTAGAAGAATATTCGCGTCACCGCGCGCACTCCTTTACTGGCGAACCCCCCGCCATTATCATACTAACCGTGTCCGATTTATTACTCATTCGAATCCGCTGGCTCGGTTCAATTATTATAAATATGGCGGGGATGTGGGTCAGGGGTTGCGGAGGGGAGGGGGCGGTGGTGCAAGGAGGCCGCCGGGGAGGTGTAGGGGGGGGGGGGGGGGGACACCCGTCAATCGATTGTCAAGGAGTGCAGCGGATCGGGCGGTGTGGGAAACACTCACCAAGAAGTTTTGAAGACTCTATGCATTTATAGCACAGTTCGGCTATGCTTACGTTCGCTCCCCCTCTGATGTCTTTTATTCCGCTCTTGTAGACTCCTGCCTTTTGGGCATAAACGTTTGACGTCCTATTTAAAATACCTTTACAATCCTTACTAATTACCGGTGGTAACTTACGAACGTGTTAATTTCTTGTAAAACTTTGACGTTTCATAAGAACGCGCAAGCGTCTATGTGAATAAAGATATTTTTATTTATTTATTTAATATTATAAAGGCGAAAGTTTGTATGTATGGATGGATATTTGTTACTCTTTCACTCAAATACTACTGAATGGATTTTAATGAAACTTTACCAATAATATAGCTCATACGTCAGAATAAGACATAAGCTTTATATACATATTTTATGTATATCTGTTTTTCTGTGTGAATGTTACGCCTTCGAAATTCATGCTTCATTCAGCATGTTTAGTCATGGAGACTTATGTAGCTATATAGCTTTGCTCGATTAGAATGTTTTACGCATAATCGATATCATCTCATTGATTTACAGTAGTTTTGATATTTAAATATATAGTTATACGTTCCTTGTTATTAGTATTCCAATAATAAAAATCTCTTCATACCAACAGACGGAAATATCACGCGAACAAATCGGTCGTTTTCATGGGGAAAAATAACTAAACAAAACATTTTCTTAACTTGTTACTCTTAACTTATCATTATTGTTTCTGTAAATAACACTAGAATTATTGTGAGCCAATATCCGTGATTCTTCACCGACGAGGATGCATGCATTCTTAGATTATAATGAGTATGACGTGAAAGGAGCGAATGTGTGTGAGAAACGTGGCAAATGATAATCCGCCTCTGCCTACCTAATTAGGTGCCGGGCGTAATTGTTTATGTGTGGACGTATTACATAAGAAATATGCTTTGGTAACATAGATCGGTGTTCTTAGAAAGCGTTGCCGTCTCAACCGCGTCACGGGAAATCGGTGTGAAATAGAGAAAGTGGGTAATAAAGAAGCTCTCTTGGCGTCGTTAGATGGTATATACGTTCGGTGACAATAACGCGTGTTTTATAGTTGCCTGCTCATCGGCCGGGCGTGGGTTCCTGTTTACGATGTTACCACACGTCATACAAACGGCGGGGAGTGCAAAGTTCTCGGATATGGCACCACAAGCAACAAGAGTGTCAAGATACCTTACTTCCATCTGTATAGATTGAACCTGGGAACGTTGAAAAGACTAAACATTAGCACAAGATGTTTTAGTTCGTTTATACTTTATTGTTTACTACCAGTTTAGTCTTGACGTCGTTCGGAATTACCCATGGTGTGTTTAATTGTCCTTTTCATAATTTATTTAAAGTAAGTGTGGGGTATTTAAATAAATAGAATTTCAGAATATTTGTGGCTTTTCATATACATATTGACAATCTACAATGTTATATGGGAAAAATGAGTTTATAAGGCTTCATTTTATATTACATTGAGATTGATAACTATGACCGTAATAATTTGGACGTTTCACGTTCTTACGCCAATGATAAATTTTATTTCCATGGATATAGTCAGGTAATAAATTGATGCAAAATTTACATAGTGATGTGTATCCGATTGGTGGTGTGCAATTTTTTTATTAAAAACTTAGCATTAGTGATCATCGGATAATATATGTTTTCTTTATGTGAAAAGTTGCCATGCGAGCAGATGGTTCACCTGATGTTAAGTGAATACCGCCGCCCAAGGACATCTGCTACACCTGAGGCTTACAGTAGCGTTGACAACCTTTTGACAAGCGGGCTCCGGCTACCTCACTCACCAGACGAAACGCGAAAGTATTATACTTCCACTTTACGCCGGTCTTCTGTGAGGTCGTGGTACTTACCCGGACGAGCCTGCCCATTCGTGCAACAGCCGAGGATACTGCGTCGCCCTACCACCGTAATATAGATTTAAATAACCTAACTTAAATATAATATGGTATTTTTTTATATAAGTACATTGTTATTAAATTTCCTTATCAAAGTTCAATTAATTATTAAAATTACAATAAGGGAATTACTGAGGTGTGTCATATAGTGATGTCACCGCTTACCCGAACCATCAGACAAGACTTACGAATTATGTATGATCTGATGTCACATCATGTAAGGAGAATGCTGCGCATGATAAACACAAATAAGATAATTAAGTGGTAATAAGGCAACGTTTTGCAAACTTCCAAATTGTCTCGGAGCGGTTTTAGGCGGCGAACAGGTCAGGTCAAATATTTTAGTTTTAAAAAGGATTCAAAGAAGAAGTACTTACTGGTTGGTGCTGACTTCCACTGCGTACGGGACAAAATTAATTTCATTGACATTCAAATTCTTGATAGTGTTTTAAGCAATGGCAAATGAAAGAGCGAAATAATATCTGTAACTATATAGGTAGGTAGATGACAAGATAGGTAACTAGATAGAGATAGGGTAGCTGGGTAGGTCAATATGAGATTGGTGTTGATTCTGCTGTGGATCCGAAAATGCCGTCTCCATTTGAAGACCGCGCGGACATCCGCGCAGACGTAATCCCGGTGAGTCGGGCGACACGCACCGCGGACTATTCTCGAACAGTTCTGGCGGCTATAAATATACTTTATAGCTCTATCAATCCCATGTACAACAGCTGGACCACTCGTTAAGAGGACGATGATTGATCTAGCGACGTCGCGGCGACGTCCGACGAATAAATCCACGGAATATTTTCGTGGTGCGGATTACGTAAATTTATCGTATTGTTGTTGAAATTCTCGGACGTTTGTCTTCCACTCAGCTAGTGTCCCTTGTCTGTGAGAATTAGAGCTGTGTGCATGTGTGACGGAACGTTAATGGGTTCGATTGTCTCCGTCAAGACAGTGATTTCGTGTTTTGTTTTTCTAATCTTAATCTACGAGCATTTAACATTTATCTATGACATCAGGAACATTTGAGATGCCATCATAATTATGTGTACCGTGGACGATTATCATTTAATGAAGTCTTTAAAAATTGCCAAGCAGTCCTCACTATGTCTGAATTGGACGACCATCAACAGGAATTTGCATTACGAAAGGTGAACGACCTCGCGGCACGTCTCGTAGTTAGATACGCTACGGTTACGGGCGCCTTTAGAGCGGTGGAAAAACTTCAAAAAGCGTGAACCGCGGAAGACATAAAACGAGCGAGCTATGATATACGGCGGACAGGAGTCGCAGACGAAAAAAGAAGCCGGTGGCACCGGTGACGTCTCCGCCGTGATTTATACAGTAAACACATAAATCCGACTTCTATCTGTCAGACGGGCGTGTGGGGCGCGCGCGGACGGGTGACAGAGCAAGCGGGCGTTAGCGCGCGGTCGAAAATATCGGAAACACCTCTCGAATTCCTAATCAAAACACAGTTTTAATGTAATGGGCCGTAATTCTGTAGTGCTACGAACTTTAACTTGTCGTCCACGTCATTTTTTTTATGTGAGCTGGCGGCTAACCTGATGTCAAGTGATGCTGCCCATAGACACGCGTAGGGTTGCATGCGTTGCCATCTTTCAATAAAGTGGGCTACCTCACTCACAAGATGCAGTAACATATGAAGTAGTAGCGTCATGCTTCAACGAGGTTTCCATGGTCTTCTGTGAGGTCGTGGTACTTCCCCGGACGTTTTGCCCATTCGTGCAACATTCAGTACTGTTGCGGGGCCCTACCACGTTTAAAATATATTGAATCTTTATGCTAAAACAAGTTGCGACTTTTGCATTTCCCAAGCGCAAAACTCTCAATAAACAATCGCAGTTGATGTCCGTCCCCTCCGCGCCTACTCAAACGCCAGATTCATCGAAAATAAAGCAATACGTCACGACTAGCTCGCAGCATCCGAGCTGACTCGAGACGAGACGTATTTAAGTCAATCGATATTATTCAACACTAAGTACACGGTGCTCTCGAATCATTCGAAAATTTCGTCATTCGATTATTTGATTTATCTTTAAAACGATACCAAAGTCACTTCGTTTTATTTCATATATCAACTTGCTCTTGTAATGGTTATTTTGAAATTGATTAAACAGAACTAAAAATAAATTCAGCTTTTGCTTACGGTAAATGGATTGTAAATTACAAAGAAATTATTTGATTGAGTTTATTATAAACATGGCTTAAAGTACTTTACTTTTTCACATATAGCCACCATTATGTAAATATAACTATCTATCGTAACATATATCTTTTTTCAAATTTCTATTTGTTTTCTTATCGCATCGCAGTGGCTGAAAGAATTTGCATTAAATTCGAATCTGTTAAGAAGTAGATTGACAATTTTTGGATTCCAAAAATAATCACGCGGCGTATCCACGGTGTAAAAACTGGCGAGATAACATAAAATTCTTTTAAGGAATCTTAATCTAGACGTCTTCGTAAGTTCAACGGTTGAGAACAACACATTGTTATCTGTTTATTAATAAATATAACTCCTCGGACAGCGACAATTCCTTGCTTAACAAAGTTTCGGACCAACTTCGGCTGCATCGTGCGAAGTCACAGCGCTCCGTGAGCCACGTTGACCGACGCAAACTGCACCTTATTGCCACGACACAGGGTCGAAAATGCCAAACGCACATCGCTGTACAAACATTAACGCTGCGTGACCGCGCCGCCGCCGCTCGCACGTCGCTGCCAAATCGCCGGCCATCATTTGCGAACTTACCAAATATCCATAAGTCTCATTTGCGCAAACAAAACACTCCGTCGGACAATAGCACGCTTTGCGGCCGCGTAGGTTCCGCCGAACCCGACTAAAGTTGGCCGAACGTATAGATACCGCCCGCAGTTGGGAGATCGAGCGGCGAAATAGAATTTTATTGGCCAATTATAGATAGTTTCGCACTCCAAACGTCGCTGTTTTCGTTACATAGAAATACTCGACGAACAAACGACTTGCAAAACTCGAATACAACTCTCATGTAAGGGGCCCATCTAGCCCGGCAAAATTCAATCCAATAAATCAGCAGACGGACCCCTATGCCGACATAGTCGTAGCGGTTTTGCCACCCTTTGATGATCTCCTCACCTTCAAATGGAAGCTAATATTCCTCAACTTTGGGGGTCGAAATACTGAGTGTGTTGGACGTGCTTCCACATTGTCTTTGCATCGAATAAATTTATTCGTACTTATGTTTCTCGAAATTTATCTTCACAGGCTTGGGTATTAAGACGGACTCGTCACTTGCAATTCCGGCTAGTTAAGTTTCGATTAAGTATTTAAAAAAATCAATTACAACATAAAATATAGCGCTTATAAAACTATCGCACATGAATATGACATGAGATTAACCTAATTGTGTTTTGAGATATAATAGCTGAGTTTTCTATTTTTTATTAGAAATTTCGTACAATTAAATACACTGTCGTAAATAAAAAACAACAAAGGTACCGTATCTTGTTTCCGTTTCACAACCCGTTATTTATACAAATCAATGAAGTTCTTACGTTAGATTAAAATTAACTTAGTTTTTAACTCACTGTTTTTATGTCATTATCATGTAAAGTGCTTCCCATGGACATCTCCGACATCCGAAATGCGATAGCGCCGTTACCCTCGAGTACCCGGCTCATCAAAGGCGCTCGAAAAACCAAACCGCACTACAGAACGCGAGGCGCTCGACGAGCCGCTAGTAACTGTTTTGTCAAGCCTCGTAGGGACTCTCCCTACGAGGCTTGACAACTAGTTGGCAATAAAGGCAAGAGTAGATTAAAGAATTTGTGAAGAGTCAAGACGGTGCATATAACCGCGAGTTTGGTGGCGCTATGGGAAGTCACGAAATTCACACTTCAACATCACGTCAGTCTTCTGCCAGACCGCGGTACATCTGTGCATCGGCAGTGCTGCTGGGGCCCTACCGCAGGCAACACAATACTTTCCACCGGGCGGCACCTCCACTCGTAAACATCGGGCGGGACGAGCGCTAATTCCGCGCGCCCTCTCCCGGGGAGCCCCGTTTCACATAAATTTGTCATATTCGCACGCAACCCCCCGGCGGTCGGTGCCAAGTCTTAAACGGGCGGAAGCCGGCGCGAGCGATGCTGTCTGATACTTCAACGGCTGGATACGCTCCACTCTCAACATTATGGACGCATTTAAATAACAAACTCCTCCCAACTCCAACGCCAGCCTCAATATAGTCAATACCCAATTGTGTCACCAAGCATAGTCGTGACAGGTGACAGTTTAGTTGTAATCTAATCTGGAAACAATGTTTATCGTACGTGTTAGTATTCTTTTTCCTTTCCTTTTTATTTTTAACATTGCCCCTTACTTTAGGATAACATTAGGGAACGGGAATGTATTGTAGGGACGTTTTACAAACATAAATTTCACGCGGACAAACACCCAGCTGCGATACAACTATATGTGGGTCACACAAATACTTGTCCCGTGTGGGAATCGAACCCACGACCCCCGACGCCGAAGCCATTAGTCCAGACGTTTAGGAGGAGTTCAGTGTTATACACACCTACAGAAGTATATACATAAAGAGTGTGCTTCTCATGACTGAAATATGAGAAAACGAGAAACCCATTGCTCCACGCAAATGTGATTCGATTGTGACCTCTAATATCGATACAGACCGATATTGAATTGGTCTCAGGGATAAAAATGTTCCGTGTTTAAATTAAGTCCTTCGACCATCATGTACGCCAGGTCGTTGAGCAACTTGAACCGCCCACCGTACCAAGCGTCTCCATTTTAAATCATTCACGTTCAAGTTGTAGTATATCGGTCTCGGGAGAGTCATAGATTAGGGCAGTAATAATTGTTCAAACGATTAAATTTTATTCTTTCTGTAATGCTCGTGAGGTCAACATTATTTTAATAATAACTATGATTCGGTGGTAGGGCCACGCAGCAGCCTCGGCTGTTGCACGAATGGGCAGGCCTATCCGGGTAAGTACCACGACCTCACAGACGTAAAGTGGAAGTATGACAAATACTTTCGCGTTTCGTCTGGTGAGTGAGGTAGCCGGAGCCCAATTTTCAAAAGGTTGTCAACGCATCTGTAACCCTCGAGTGTAGCAGATGTCCATGGGCGGCGGTATTCACTTAACATCAGGTGAACCGTCTGCTCGTTTGACAACTTTTCGCATAAAAAAGAAAAAACAAATTCTTCTATTAATTACTAAATCACATATTGGAATATATATACATAATTTATTATTTATATTATGTATATTTAATTTTCTACATATTTTAATATATATACATATATATTTTTTCAGACATAGCTAGTTTTTAATACTGCTACTGTTTCTCAAAAGGTTCTTATACGTCTGTCCGTGTGTCACCACCGATTTTCTCAGTAATTTTCCCTTTACCAGCCTGTCTATCTGAGGTTTACTAATGTACGTTAGGCATAAAACAGTAGAATCGCCTCTGGCCGTAGATTTTATAGTCTTTGCAACTACAACTGCAACAATCGTAGAGTCGCCATAAGTCAGTCGACTACCCGGGCCGGGAGTTGAAGTTTTCACTCCCCCCTTACTTATGTGCACTCCGTCGCGAGGTCTGATTGATTGGAAGACGCTTCCCGTTTTTTCTAGGGATGTCAAATTGCGTTCCGATTACACTTCCGCGATCGAACTATTGCGTTTTTCGACAACCCTGGAATGATTTTAAATACACGATTTTAAGATGTGCAGAGATTTCAATACACGATTTGCCGTGGATTTTTTAAATCGTAATCTAGACAAAAATGTCTGTAACTGAAGATTGTATGTTTTAACGATTTTTACAATTGTTCGATAGAAAATAAGTTAGTAAACTTATTTTTCTACGTACAGTTTTTTTTCCTTAAATAAGTCGAGATCACGACGTCCAAGATGACATCATTAAATAATTTTTCAGTATCTTGGTATGGCCTTTGTATTCGACGGGAACACCGCTCATTTAGTTATTATCAACCCATCCAACCGATTCACCGCTTCATTATACCTCTAGAATAAGCGTAAACATTCGCTCTCCACAAAATGACAAACTTCACTTTGTAACGTAAGAGCGCTTTCGCACAAATGCGGGGGAGGGAAATGGGAAATCCATAGCGGAGGAACAGCACGTCGGCCATAAATCGCCATTATTACGGGGACGACCTTCGGTTCTCGGGTGATGGGACCGTCTGCGCGGCGGGGTGTACCACGGCCGAATTAATTACGACCCAACGTCGTACATCAGTCGGCGAACGACGCGCTATCACGCAGACGGGCCACCGTTCCCCTGATCCGAAGCACAAAAGCGAAGAGTACATAAATCAGCGGCTACTTCGCTGTGGTAGAGCTGCGTTCTTTGCTTGAATGCGCCAGCGCGACCAAGTACCACGGCCTTCAAGTTAACCAGCGTGAATGGATTAAAAGTAAAAAAGTAAAGTATCAGCCTATACATGTCCCACAGCTGGGCAAAGGCCTCCTCTGGGGTCAGGGCATAGTCTACCGCGCGGCCCCATTGCGGATTGGCTTCTTCACGTATCTTCCAAATATTTTTCTGTTATTTTTTCGAAAATATGCAGGTTGTCTCAGGATGTTTTCCTACCGCAGAGTACGTGATAAGTCGGACACTGAAAATTAAGAATTTCATCGACGCCGGTACCGGGGATCGAACTCAGGTTGCTCGAGTATATTAAATTAAAGTCGAGCGCCCGGACAATGAGCTATCACAGCTGGTGTGAATACTTACTCGTAGTATCGATGCTCTCGTAACTCAAAACCCCTTCTAGTGTTCTGGATGTCCATTGAAGAAGTCACTTGCTCCTTGCTCGTGCCTACTTGGAAACCTTAGTGTATCGTTTCCATCGCAATCTGATGAATAAGACCATAGTAACAAACGCTTTGGTGTGTGTTAGTGGCGTATTTTTAGAAAAATTCGATGTTTGATCTAAACTCGATTTATATTTATGTGTGCCCGAGTAAGATGAACAATATGCATGTGTGTGTACCAATTTATGATGGGGAAGGTTGCTTTTAAAATCAGTTGCTAATAATCCAGCGTACTATTGACACCGTATTTCTGTTACCGATCCCTACAAAGAAAGAGAACCTTAATATCACAACACTCCATATTTAGATGATCAAAGTACGTTAATCCGCCATCGCGGATTCAAATCAAGCGCACTTCCACACAAGCTCACGCTTAAAATATTAGTGCGACTGCGGCGAGCGAGAATTGAACTGATATCCTTCAAAGGCGCGTCTGGGGGTTGCCGGGGGTGGGCGGGCGCTCCGGGGCCGTGCGCCCCGTGATTTATTGGCCTATAAAGTATTATAATTAAAAGCCGGGAGCGCGGGTGAAACTATACGGTGGACGGAACTATGGCCCGTTTGCAAGCCCGCAAACGTTTGTAATAGCTGCGATCATCGCGCCCCAGGTACGGGCGACCCGCTTCCACCGCGCCCTCCGCCCGATTCGCAAGCTTTACCTTCGACTTTACCTTTATTCTCTCTAAGGACGGTTTCGATGTAAGGACTTTTTCCTAATCATGTTAGGATCGATTAGAAATTTAGATTAATTACAGCGTCTACTATAGACTGAGCGGTCCTGACGTACTTAGCGAAGATATTTTTTTATAAACATGGACAAACACTTGTACATGTAGTCAGGGTTAGAGAAGGCTTACCCATTTCTTGTACTCGTTCATCTCAACCTTTCTCTATTTTTTCTCTATTTTTTTTTAAATAAATCCACGTCTAACCAATTAATACTTAATTAATTAGTTCAAATCAGGTTTTTTAAAGATGAGTTATTATATCCAAGTCCATTACCCAGCATTAGACTAACTAAATCAGAATATATATTTTTGTAAAGAATTTATTTTTAATATTGTTTTAAATAAAAAAAAAAAAAAACATTTGTTTGTGTTTAGTATCTGTTTAAATCTTTTTATTACCGTGTACACTGCACAACCCTCGCACACCAAAAGCTTAATTGGGGCGTCACAGAGTGTTGTATCACACACGTTTCCGCTCCTCTGTAACTAAGAAAAGTTCCTGACCGCGTCCCTGTTTAATTAAAACTACAACTCTTGCCCGTCACGAGTCGGCGAGTTCGAATACTGGACTTTTGTGGATCAGCTGCGGATTCTGCGACATTCGCTAAGTACGTGTGACTGGCCGGTTAACGAAATGTTCCTTATCTATTGACTTGCTTTAACTTGATGTGACATCATCGTTGAACGTCATTATAAATAATAATGGAAGAAGATTTTCATTATTTTTGCAAGGAAAATAGTTTAATTTACAAATCGAAATACAAACAAAACAATTTAATTTAGCAATGTAAAATATTGTTTTATCAACTGAAGTGTGAGCGGCATTCCGGTAGAATCGGTCGCCGTCCTACAAATCGCGGCGCGCACCGCCCAAGTGCATAGCAGCGGGCGATGCTACTTGCGCCGCCCGCCGTACAAGGCGTCCACCCGTCTGCCCGTCGTGACAAACGCTCTGTTTATTAAAGTCAAAACATAATACGGGAGTGGCGTAAATCATGCGCCGCGGCGGGCGACCGCCGCCCCCCCCCCGCACCCCCCGACGAGCACCCACCCCGCCGCCCACACGTCCACTAATTTTCAGGAATGGCCCCTGAAGTTCAGACGCTCGGATCTGCATGTGATACGCGATGGGAGCCCGCCTTTTAATGCCTCGCTGTTGCTCTTTTTGCTTGAGCCGTTCCTCCTACTTCGGAGCCGCCGTGAAGTTATGGCTTCATGCGCTCTGCCTCCGCAAAACGCGACTCTTCTCCCATTTAGTGCGGTCGTTATGGACGCGTGCTGTTGTATTGTATCTTTCGTGTGGTGTTGGTTTCGGACGCAAATGATTAACTAAGATGCTCTTAGTGCAGTTACCGGATAAGTCCTAGTATTGTGATGGCTTTTAACACATCACTAATCAATTGCTTATGAAGAATGTTAGTTGCGGATGTTTTTTCATGGACAGTAGAGGACCAATCCAAGAGTAGAGTGCTCAAGAGTAAGTTGGAAGGTACGAGGCTATCGAGCACGTTAATTTATAGAACAATTACCGGTAAACACGTAGGCACAGCAGCCGCAAGCTTCGGGGGTATCAGGGCAGGCCATTATCGGAGATCCGTCCCGCGATGAGCCAGTAATTGAAATAATTCAAAGATTCGCAACGGCGGACCGCGGCGAAATTAAATGGGGCCCGCGGGGCGGCACAACAAATCATATTTATTTAGACCTAAAAATACCTCGGGCCGCCATTAGGCGCACAAAGCGCGGACGGAGCGGTCCCGCTCAGGAGATTAGTCGAGGAGGCGACATTAAAGTGAAATTATTTATTTAGGCCTCGCCTAGATTACATTACACCATACGCATAAATAACGAAAACAATAAGAGCTATACTAATAATTATCTTTTTATTGCCGGATTGTGAAAATTTTAGACACTTATCCGGGGGTGGTGGCGGGGCGCGGGGTACTACAGGGGGGCTGTTTTTGTCCCAATTATTTATGGCGGTCGAGACGCGGGGGATTTTGGATTCGTCGGCGCGTCTGTCGCTCCTTTCTTGTGGAGAGTCGCCCGTTCTTTTTTCGGTCTCCTCTCGTTTTAATTAAAACTTTCGTGTAGGTTAATTAATGGCCGCGCATAATAATTCGAATGGATTCCACTCAAACGGGTGCCGAGTTAATTCGCGTCGACGTCTTGATTCGAGGCGGGAGCGTGTCCGCCGTATTACGCCTAGCGTTTTGTAACATCGCGTTCGCGTTGCTCGTCAAGACCCTTTTGTAAATACCAGCTCGGAATTATATCGCCGTGATTAGTATAAAGCTAATCGATAACATCTTCGAAGCATCTTTCTTATATTAAATTTGTTCGAGTTATCAGCTTGTTTCTCAAATAATTGCGTCGAAAATTACCTTAAACTTCTAAGATCAAACCGCGGTTATCTGTATTTCGAATAAATATACGATTTTTATTTCTTAGTGACGTTCGCATATCGATATATTATTGTGTCTGTTTGTTAGTGAAGAGCGTCCCATTCATCACGCTTTAAAAACCCGTACGCATCTCTACCCCGGCCATTGTTCGACTGCGCGGGATCAATCACAAAAAAATCCCCGAAACACCGCCGCGGCGCGCCGTATGTATGTCCTTCAAACCAATACGGCACAAGAATGCCTCGCCATGAATAATCTAATAAATAATCTTTTGAAGCGTAATTTATTAGGCACGGCATTACCGGACGGAAGCTCCGGGAGAGCGGGACGGCTGTGCAAGTTTCGCCTTTGCCGGAGCGAGACGGCTGTTAATGTCGTCCGTCATAAATAACAGCGGGCAAAAACAATGGACAATGGATTGTGGTGCCGAGATACGTCTTCTTTAAGGTCCCCCCCCCTGGAGGGGGGAGGTGGCTCATTCAAATGCGGACGGGACTGTCCCGACTGGGCGCGTGCGCAACCCAGTGCCCGATGGCCGTTCTTTTATTGTACTTATTTATGAATTAAATGCATTTCGATGCTGTCGCGTTTAGGGTTCCGTATTAGTTACGAGTATTTGTATATTATGATTAGACACGTTTTTTTATTTGCCGGTCGGTATTTTTACTTCGCTAAGCATATTCCAGATTTTCGTGAGGCGTGTTGCTTACGTCCCAAGGACTTAATTTTGTCAACTAAACAGAAAATTAATGTGTAACGTCATCAATAGACACAGAATCCTCGCCAAATATTGATAAGAAATATTTTTAAAATTTAAATTTCGATCTTTTTTTTAGTACTAACATTAGGTAAATGATTACCATCATTGAAGTCCTTGAAAGCGGGACAGATTAACTAATTTGTGCAAACAATTTTTGTTGAAAACTTGGTTAAGATCCTGGTAAATATTTGTACAAGTTAACTTCTTTAGCTAGCTACTTATTGCTCTAGACGTTGGGACGTCTGAAGAGGCATATTAGGGTAAACCGTCGCGGCTGTATAAATACCGGGAATTTTTACTAAAAGGAATTTATACTTTGTTTAGGCAAGTTTTTTTACTTCCCACTGCATTATAGCCTCCGATTAGTAATTGAACTCAAACTCGTGACCCAAGATCTACCCATAAGTACACGAATAAAAACGTTACATAATATATTCAACACTTCTAACTAAAAACGTGTTGTTTTTGATTTGTTTGTTGGATCGTGAGAAGAAGTCAGTGTCCCGCACTTTTATTCAAAAATACTTGAACAACCTGAGTTCGAATCCCGGTGTCAGCACCAATGATGTTGGTAATTTTGTGGTCAGCGGTGAAGGAACACATTGTAAGGAAAGGTGGAGATTTTCAAAATAATAACTAAAAAATATCTCGAATATATGTGAAGTCTACCAATCAGCAGTGGGGTCGCGTGGTGGACGATGCCCTATGTACAGCGGAGGGATTTTGCCCAGTAGTGGGACTTGTATAGGTCGTTTTGTTAGTTTTATGTAATTCGTAAACTGTTCAACCAAATCCAAAATAACTACAGCCAGAGTAATGTGGGCATGATTTAAGTAGATGTTTAATTATAATAAGACTAATGTTTCAATTCAATTCAATTCAAGCGCTTACGACAAAATTTTTTAATTGTTTATAATATTATTTTATTTTTAACTTATTTATAAAAAATATTAATATTTCTAACAACGTTATACGGACAACGTAAGGCTGTCCGCGCAAAGAATTCGTGTCGCGAATAGAGGCGGCTGATTACTTAAATGCCATAAATAACTTACCACCTGCTCCACCTAATGAGGTGATATTAGCGTCCACGAATAATCAATTAGACCAGACAAAGTTGTAACGGCCCACGCTTAGTTGATTCATAACGTTTGTCGCCGTAATAGGCTCTCTAAACTTGCATCTGTTGAAACGAAACAAACTCTTCAGTTATTTAAATTGAACATTTAAGTTTTAATGTTAGTTTAAATATTTGCCGTGAGTGTGAAAGAAACATGGTGTGGGAGCCTCGTAAAAAATCTATACATTAAATAATCCATGATGGGGTTGCATATAACCTTTGTTAATTGGAGGTCGGTGGGTTCACGTAATGTTAAGTGAATACCGCCACCCATGGTCATCAGTTACACACGGGCGTTGCAGATGCGTAAACTTTTTTAAAATTGGGCTCCGGCCACCTCACTCACCCGACGAAACGCGAAAGTATTAGTAATATTACTTCCATTTCACGCCGGTCTTCTGTAAGGTTCCGGACAAGCCTGCTTATTCGTGCAACAGCCGAGGCTGCTGCGTGGCCCTACCACAGTAACCGTTGCGGAAAAACCTCAACTAAACAGCTGACTAAACAACTAAACTTTTTATATTTTCGCTTTTCGTAACACCTTATAAAGTTTGAATACATTAGCTATCGACTGACGATAACTTATCATTGTTTAGAAAATTATTTTGCCCATTCAGATTGACAAGGTATTTTTAAAACCAACACCCCCTTACTTCCCATGCGTTATCATAAGTAATTTATGATATCTCATAATGATGTTCGTTTATGTTATACTTAATTATATTTAACTACGGCCATTTTTTATATTGGCGTTTAACCTCACTGGTAATATTAACCGTTGCCATAATGTTTGCCACTAATTTATTTATTTTTTGCTTGCGAGCAAATTAATTTTTCTCTGGCACTTTTCGTAGCAGTTCTACTATTGGCTTCGGCTTCGGGGCTGGTGGGTTCGATTCCACCCGGGATCAGAATACTTGTTCCGGATCAGGGTGTCCATTCCCAAAGGTTGATGTCAAGAAGGCGGCTGGTCTTAAAAAACTGACTTCACCAAGGCTGGGATAAGGAAAAGGAAGAAGACATTTATGGTAATATGAGGATGTATTGGGAAATGTTCATTATCAAAACTATTGATTCATCGCATTAATTTTTGTATATTGAAACCGCTTTGCGATTTTGACGGCCTAGCGCCGAGGCAGCCGCTGGCCAATCTGCTAACAGTTTGAAATATAATTTTGCTGCTTTACGTTAAAGGTCTATCAATAACGGGAAACGTAAGATGTAACCTTTGGGCCATTACTAGAACACAGCGAAATGATAAAGTAACAGTTGCCAAACACCGATAAGGCTCAAAGGGAGTGCGCGACATAAAAAAAGGTCCGATGCTCAATTACGAACCTCAAAGCGCTTCGAACACCCACGCTCCGCTACCGCGCTTTAGTCCATTTGCGCCCGCGCAGCTGTCGGGGGCAATTAAAAGATGGCGCTGTAGGCCACACGGCCGGTGCTAATTGACTTTTCATGTCGGCACACGAATTTAAATACCCTACCTGCGGTAGGCCCAAACAGGTATTTTGCTTGTTGTCTAGTTGTTCGTCTGTTGTCCTTTCGATATTGTTTTTTCAAGGGATGGCGCAAACAATCCAAACGCTCGCCTTTGAAAATTGTCAGTAATCGCTACGACGGTGGACATTGCTTCTTTAGTTAATTATATTTGTTATGTCAATAAAAAAGTAAAAAGTACACATCCTGACGTCCTTTGAAATATCGGCTGCGTTGCGAGTCGATGTGTCGTAGCGTTGTCTTAATTGATGAAAAAATTATATATCTATTGCATTATACGTGAAAAACGATGCAAAAAGATGCCATGTATGCATCACTGCATCTTTTAGAAGGTGACATTTTTTTTTAATGCGAAAAGTTGCCAAACGAGCAGACGGGTCACCTGATGTTAAGTGAATACCGCCGCCCATGGACATCTGCTACACCCGAGGGTTACAGATGCGTTGACAACCTTTTGAAAATTGGGCTCCGGCTACCTCACTCACCAGACGAGACGGGAAAGTATTTGTCATACTTCCACTTTACGCTGGTCTTCTGTGAGGTCGTGGTACTAACCCGGACGGGCCTGCCCATTCGTGCAACAGCCGGGGCTGCTGCGTGGCCCTACCACCGTAAAATGGACTATAAAATAAAACAGACTTCAAATACATCTATCACTGTACATTTTCTAATTGATTTTAAGGAGTATAAGAGATCATGAATGCAAGGTTTAATAAACATAAAATTAGCCACGTGGGAGCTAAACCAAATTTAATGCAGAAAGAATTAATTAAGTAGAACCTACTCTTTTTTGAAGACAGACGAAAAATGTTTTACTTGCTGTCAATGCGTCTGAAAGCCCTCAAGTGTCCTAGATATCTTCGGCTCATAGAAAAAGCAATGTAAATATACATAAAAAATAAACAGACATGAGGTTCTGTCATGTATACAGTCAATATAGCATAAACACAGAAGACATCGCTGGGCGAGCCGATGTGTGGTGACAAGCTCGCAACTCATGCGCAGTGGTGTACCATTTTATTGGTCGCGTGATTTACGCGCGGAGACGTTTTGTTTGGTGATTTTTATGTGTTTGTCCGATTAACGCTACTTCATTTTATTGCTCGCCTGTTTTATTATGCACTGTCCGACCCTGGCTGCTTTCCGTAAATAACTGGAGACCGCATGAAAGTGGGCTATTTTAATATCATTGCATGACATACAGCCACTAAGTTCGGGGTAGATGTATTCAACTATATCTATTCGATCCACTAGTTCATCGTCAAAGTCATAATTTATTTATTCCATATAGGCTTTATTTAAGCTCTTATTGAATGTCAAAAACTACCGCCGGTTCATTAAACTAAATAATGAATTTATTAATTTATACTGTAGTACTGAAATGAATAATTTAATAATCCGCTATTACAATTCCTGCTAGTTGCTAATAGTTAATAAGTTAGATGTCATCATTAGACAATAGAGTTTTATGGTTAGTGACACCAAGATGTTTTTTCATATGATATTCTTATTTCACATATCTATAGAAAATCATACATAACATCTATTAAATTAAAACTATCATCTCATCATGAAGGCTCACTGCTGCGATGCACATGATGCTTATTAAAATATATTAACACTTCACAATATAAGAACGGATTTTAGGGTGTACACGCACACGCCGCGAACCGAGCCGCGGGCTAAACTAGTATGTTGCATTTTAACGACACTAATCATTCGTACGCGACGCGCTCCGATGCCAAGAGCTCGTCTCCGGCGACGCGGAGATCAATTGATGGCGTTGGATACGTCGTCTCGTTTCCGAGACGTAATTGTTGCTCGGTCCAATTATTCCGGTGTTTGAACTGTCGGCACCAGAGGGCGCGGTATCAAAGGAACGCTCGTCTGACGCTGTGCAGAGTAAGCAGCGTGGACGGTATGACGGGTAACTCGTCTTGTTTCGAGCACCAACCTGGAGGCGGTCCGTCGAATCTGGACTCTACGGGGGCGAGTATACGCGCGAGAAGCGCTTAGGTGTGTAACGTTCATGAGGAACGATGACTAAATCTCGAATACTTAGACATGCGTAAACTTTACATTACGGCGGAGAAGAACACGGAAATTAATGTACCGTTATAATTTAGCACTTCTGTGTCTTAAATACAGTTGAAAATAATTATTTAGTAATGCGAGGTGTTGATAGCTTTGTGATTCGTTAGACGCATTTGGAAGAAAAATATTCTTAGCGACTTGTAACAAAATGTCTGCGTGACTGTTAACTAGTCTAGCCTTGAAAAGTGCTACTAGAACTTTCCGTTCGTCGTAGACTATACATCTTTAATAATATAAACCTAGATAAGTTCTAGTTAACTCAAGGAATGGTACAGTTAATATTTTCGAAGTATTTCTTCTAGAACTGAACTAAAACTGGAGTAGAACTATAAGAACTGAAATTGTTGTTAATAAGTCTTTTTCTCTACAGTGGAGCCAGATACCGTTAACAGTATGAAAAGCGATCTACTCCGCCCATCGTCATCCACTACACCGGAGGAGTTGCAAAATCTTATTATTGAATTATTCGCAATCTCTCTTCCCCTCTATTGTAATACATACAACCATTGTAAGTAGTGACGTAAAATTGGAGTCATCGCATATAATTCACGTTTCGCGTTTAATAATTAGTATTATAATTTGAGGTAATCCGAGCCCACATTTTAAATATGCATATATCTTCAGCTCATGTGTGTTACTGGGCGGCGGCAATCAATTAACATTCCCCCTTAAAAATGTGATAAAATGCCAATATTTGACCGACATGTTAACGGTTATAACTGTACCGAGAACCGAAAGGGCCACCCACTTTGCAGTTGAAACGGATCCAAGCTCGCTAAGCGTCCGCGTTACTGAGTCACACGCGACGCTCGGATTGTACTAAGTGGCTCAGTGGTCAGTGTCCGGCTGTACTTGGCGGTCCCAAGTTCAATTGGCGGTGAACAGGATCTGTGCAATAGAAGTGTTCGTACTTATTTACAACTTTGAGCTTTATGAGGTGTATGGGTCCGGGTAGGTGAGATCTTCCGTCTACCTGGTCGTCGGAGAGGACTCGATACTTATTCGGAATTACTTTTTTTGATGCGGAAAAAATTTTTGTTGGTTTAAATTTTAAGCATATTGTTAATAAAGTCGGTCACCTACCTCCGTTGTGCACATATTTAGGGAATCTTATTATTACAACGCACGCTTTTTATCGTCTCACGCAACTATTCATTCATTCAGTCGCACTGCGGTGATTATAAATATCGCGCTCAACGTAAATAATATCTCACTGTCGTGTCTCGTTTGGACGAATGAAAATTTTCACGCGAACGAAACCGTGGGCGATGTATCGAGGCGGCCAAGAATTTTCAGCCACAGTCGGCGTAATCACTTCTGATGACAGTCATCGGAGGAGTCGAGTCAGTCGCGAGCCCTCCGCACCACGCCTGGTTACCTGAGCGAGTACATCGATGGCTCCGTGCCGTACATGTGGTCAGATGTCGAACGTAACGAGCAATGTAGACAGCGCTCTATATCGGTGTCAGGCAGCGGGCGAGCGTTTGAAGCGCTAATAAATCAAAGATCGGTGCTCGGTGGCGTGCTTGTGTGACGGCTGGCGACGGGCCAGTCACCTTTAGCATTTGGTCGCGAATTGCCGGATGACAGATTTAAGTGACAGCCCCAGTTTGAGGCGGCAGGAGCTAAAGGCACGGCCGAGTTTAATTGAAACGACAGTTTATTATAATGATGGTCGCTTTAATGGGATAAAACTATTATTTTTCGTGTGTTACGCGATGTTACTGGGTTTTAACAGATGTTGAACGTAACGTTATGTGTTAATGCACAGATAAACTAAGTTAACTTTAGCAGTCAAAAGTTAATTTAGTTTATCTGTGCATCGTTTTTGTGTAATAAGGTAATGTTATGAACAGGTCCTGTGATTTTGGTAATATCGATCAAACATGGATGAAATTCAAACCCCTGTAACTTTAGGGTCTAGGGACACGAGAGCTTTTGCGACGCAATAACTCAACCACGACATGGTATTGAGGAGAGCCGATCACTTCGTGGCACCGTTGCCAAGGCATTGGCTTCGGTGGTCGTGGGTTCGATTCCCACACGAAATAACTGTGTGACCCACAGAGTTATTTCGGATCTGGGTGTTGTCCACGTGAAATTTGTTTATGTAAAACGTTCTTACAACACAGGATAGTGGCCAATGTTTTCGAAGGGAAGACTTATAATAGATCTTCTAGGTCGCAGCCGTCTTTAGGACTAACTACCAACCCCATCCACACTAAATACAATACAATGATGGCCAGGAAGCTGCCAGGTTGGAGCTTGTTCTTCTATTTATGAGTGCGCAATGCGTTCGCCGAGAACACAACGGCCGCTCAAAGTTTATTATTCCGCAATTGCATGCCGGAGTTCTCACAAATATTCGTGTTGACGGATCACGCGCCGATTGAGGGGCGATTTCGCGTGCAGCGTGCACTGCTAATCCTCATGCGTACATCAGCGTTACGGTAACTCACTGCATCTGTTTCGTCTCGCTTGCAGTTGGCCGTACATTGCGCGACGCTGTATATGCTATCCGAATCTGCTCCAGCGCCAGCGTTCGATGTAGAACGCGCGCTGTGTTTAGATTTCGCCCGCCAATGCACCGCCCTCGTAATGTAGGCCGAAAAGTGATAAACGCATGCCAATTATCCGTGCAAATATGCGTGTTTCGGTTTTTACGATGCGTTCAGTTCTGACACCTTGACAATAGATGGCGCGCTACGGATGAGATTTAACAAGTCTAATATCCGTTGACGTTCCAATTGGGTTCTTAATTCAAAATAATCAATATAATGATCTTTTGTGGCTTGATTTGCCTTTCTTAGTGTAGTGGGATTGACTTTTGTTGAGTTATTTAGTTGTAATCGTATTTGTTAAGAGCGCAATAAAACGCTTCCACCTGCGCTCCTTTCGCGTTTGTGTTTTGATGAACGGATGACTATACATGTCGTGTACAGGCTACCATTCCCGCCTACGTCTTAGCCGTCGGGGTCATCGAACCCTGACGCAACGCCAACAATCGTCGGCCATCCATCAGCAAACATAAAATCCGAGTCCCATTCGGAATTCGTATTAATTTGAATGTAAATGGCGTCCGATCATAATCGTGGACTGTGTGAATTGTTGTTTTGCCGTTCGGCGCTCACCGAGCGGCGCGAATCACACACCATTTCGGTCCTTACTGCTGCCCGTTTAGGTTCAGAATGCCGTGCGCATTTTTAATGTATTCAATTAAGCCGATGTCAATAGACACGCGGTTGCAAAGGTGGCTTTTTATGCCACGCGCTTGTATGGCATCAATGAATATGACTTTTAACCTTATTCCTTTTCATGCTAATTTTATCTATGATATTTCTAATTTGAATGTTTTCTAATTGGAAATTAATATAAGGGATATTGGAAGTTTAAAATAACCTTAAAGTCCTTTACCCCATCTTTAATATTCAGAGTATCTACCGTTAGACAGTCAACAATTTGATTGTAACATAATATGATCCTCGAATCTCTGTTGTTACTCTCGAGATGTTTTAGTGTCAGTTTACTGCTAAAAGTAGAAATGGTTTATGTCATTTGTCTTTAATGGGGTAAAGACTATATTAAGTTATCCACGTTCCGAAATTATTTTGATCCATATCAGGTGAGCTGAATCCAGGGCCTTGGGGGAGACACGGTTTTCTGTAACAATACTGTAGGCTTATTACGTATTTGTTCACGCCTCCGGGATCGAACCAGAAGAGTTTTTAGATTGTCTGGCGCTCCACTGACAAAAACTGTTCCCTGACCACTTGTATTGCCGCCCGGTCATAGGTTCGAAATAGACGCCTCCGACCGGACTTTCTCGCAATTTTATAGGCCATTACGTTATGATTAAAAGCGTCGAATAAATCCCGCCGAGGCGAAATTCCCGCGGCGTTCGCCGGATAGGTGACGACGACGCGTCTCCCGTATTTATTGTTCCCGGGCCTCTCGTAAAATATTAAAAGAGACGCGCTATTCCTCTTGTTTTATGACGGCGACACGTCTAATTCGGCGCTCGTAAATAATTCGCGTGACGCCTACACGACGGGCCCTCCTCACGCATCACCGTTTCGCAGTCGTTGGTGGCCCGAAGCTTATCAGCATCTCTTAGCAGCACAACCCTCGAGATGAACGAGTGGATCAGGAAGTCCAAGTGGACGTCTCACAAATGATGTCTCTGAATGCATATAAACATATACATAGATCTGTAACAATTATTAGATATTGTGGCTTGCGCTTCAAAAGCTGATAGATAACTTGACGAAAGACGTTCGGAATCCTCATTCGCGCTTAAAATCCAGCGGTCAATTCTAAACTAATGCACCTAAATCTCCATATTTTTTTGTTCCGCCTCGGCTTCACAGGGCTAACATAGTTATCAATAAAAAAGTGAATAAAACAATAACTTATAAGAATACTGTAATTCTATTAGTCTTAAACACAATTGTGGCTCGTAGGCAAGTTTGAGTATGAATTTAAATGATTCAAAAAGCAGCGGGGGAGAGTAGTTGTCTTGCGGATAGGACGACGGACTTGGGATTCAAGGACGTGAGTTCTATCCAGACACATGTTCCAATGAGTCTCCTGTCCTAAGGTATTATTCCGAAAAAAATTGGTATACTATGTATGCATGCTCACCAATTGTCACGTTAGCGATTAAAGCTCTGTCAAACTTAATTAACATAAAGTTTATTTCGGTGGTTTGTAAAGAAAAATACTCACGCCACAATAAACACACCTCATTACGCACACCACAATATTATACATAACCGTATCGATATGAATCACTTGGATACGATGAAGTGAGTGCGTGAGGCAAGCCGTTCCCAATCCGTCTGACGTGAGCGTTGAGCTGCCAAATTAATCGCATCTTGTTAATGACTCCTCGCGCATAGCCCTGCGATATTCCTGTAGCGTTGAAACAACCCCAGATTCCGGTCAAATATTGCCTTTCAGATACATCGTTGCGAAATTATTAATAGTTAATACATTTTAATTTTTTATTATTTTTTTTAAATATTCCCCTTACATATCCTGTGTTGCAAAGACGTTTTGCAAACATAAATTTCAGGTAGATAAACAACCAGATGCGAAACAAACATCTGTAGGCCACACAAATAGTTGTCCTGTGTGGGAATCGAACCCACGACCCCGACGCCGAAGCTAATACCTTAGCAACTGCGTCACGGAATCCTCTAAATACATTATATGTGTTTAATATTTTTCAAGAATGATGTTAAGTGATAAGGTACAAGATTTATGTTTACATAAAATTTTGTCTGAAGACTAAAGTTAAATCATATCGAATATAAATGACTTCTAATATCAAAGTCTACAAATGACTGATGGGCGATATTATTAGATATACAGGGAAAATCGAAGGAGTGTTATACGGAAATGTCTAAATTTAGCCTCGCAGGATACACATTTCAATATGAATTATTTATGAGTGACAGTAAAAAGTTGACAAATATAAGGAGAACTCGCAATAAATAATCTACGGGCGTTGTTTTAAAGACTTATCGTTTCGTGCTAAAGTTATGCGGCGGTCTCTATCTTAATTTGTACTATCCCACTTATTGGTTGTATAATCGACGCTATAGTGCTGCGCCCGTGGACGTCGATAAATTACCCGTTATCGATATAATCATTCGCCCTTCTCGTGTGGGTTATATTAATGAACTGGCATTAAAGCCGGGGCGGGCTAGATGCGACCGGGGCGCGGTGACTAGTGCAGCGCCCGTCTCTATTATAAATTTATACAGGTGCTATTTGTTGTCAGCCGACAAGTAACGCACGGCTACTTGTGAGACCACAGCCCTTACCAAACTTATGCGGTCAGCGTGGGATGTCGAGAATCACAAACCTATGATTATTCACGTATGGTCTCGACCTAATAAAACACGTCTGATATAACGTAGTCTCGAGCGGAATTCGGCTAGTTAGTGTGATCGTTAATTCTAAACTGTTATAAATATATATCAAACACTTGTGATAAATCGTTCCCTTTGAAATTTTCACTATCATAAAACTTGATTATTTTTTAAACGTATTTTTATTTTAGTAAAATTGAGCGATTTTTGTGACGAAATATACAAAGTGTATTCTCGTAAACCCGAGTAAATGTAAGCTTACTCCATCTGGATTGAATATTTTTATGAATCAAAAATGTAAAAATGGCGATACCGCTTTCATGCGCAATTTAATACGAAATTGATGGATGCGCAACCTTATATGTTTAAGGGTGTCAATCGCTTAAAAAGCATCACGGAGCCGTTAGTAGATCCATAAAGAAGCTGATTATGACTTCATTCCAAAATTGTCTCAACGGAAGTTGTATGTCGTAAAATCTCCGATGAATCACGGATTTCGTATATTTTAAAAGTGTAAATGTGTCAGCATGCCGCGACTTCGGATCTCTATTATTTTATTACACATTTTTGAATTTATAACATCTGTGGATTAGCTTGAGAGTGCTCGGGGATCAAAACGTATTTTTTCCGTGAGTGAGTTATTTTGACGAAAGTATGCAATAGTTGTCCCATTCTTAGCTTATTTTGAAAGCAATAATAGTGAAATCGAATTAGTGTGAATGAAACGCAACATTTTGACATTCCGTTATGCTGGCAAATTTATTTCGTCGTAACTTAACATTTGGGATATGAAGCCGATGCATTCGATCGAATGTTATCACTGATGGATGTGGACGTGTGCGTATAAGACAGCCGGTTTTAAAAAAAATTCAATTGTGCCAATACCATGTTTAAGTAAACTTTTAACCATAACACTACATTGTAAACGACATCGTAAACGACGGCTAAATCGATTACCTGTAGTTGTCATTAAACCGAACTGTTTTTACGCATTTCATAGCGTTTCATTTAAATAAAAAAAAAAACTTCCGTCGTTTCGAATACTTTGCTTCGTTCCGTAAACGTGAACAAAACTGTATAAAAAGTAACCTGTAGTATTTGTTTAAATATATAAATACCGCTATAACAATACATACTAAAACAGAATAAATAAATATATATTTAAGTGGGGCTCCCTTACAACAGACATGATTTTTTTTGCCGTTTATTTTATAGAGTGGTACGGAACCCTTCATTCGCGAGGCCGACTCACCTTTGGCCGGTTTTGTTCGTAGCAAAAGGCATAAGCATATATATAACATTTAGAAGTAAAGAAATTTCTTTACTTCTAAATTTTATATACAAAGAGCCAAATCAAGCCTCCCTGCAAGTTCTATTCCACCCCGAGAAAGTACGAATAAGTAGTGCTATCGTTAAAATATTCCAGCGAGCGATAAATGAACACGGCACTGCTAAGCTGCAAATATAGCGACTGAGTGTCGTCACATACTAGTGACTGCTTCCAGGCTCCGACGCAGTAATGAAACGACTCTGGCGCGGCCGCGGTGCGTCTCCTGAGCGGCATATATCTCGCGGCTGTCGCGCGATTTCGCACCCTATCGCAACGGTGCTGGGTTTAATTCGGATAAAGGAGTGTCGAGCGGTCGAGATTCTAAATTTCCGACCGCAGCCCGCCGTAGCGACATTAAATTGTAATCGAGCGCTTTACACTGACGTCCGCCGCGAAATATCGCGCGGGCGCGGTATAAATATGCACTTATCTCTCTTTTTAGTTAACGCAACCTGCATTATGCAGGCCGGCTGTGGCCCACGTGTGGGGCGAATAAAATTTTAGCACTACGCCATTGTCCTAGGCCCGGGCGGGCGGGAGGGAGACGGCAGACGGCGGGAGAGGCCGTTAGGGCAATATCGGGCCCCACGTCCATAACTCGAGAGTCGTCGGGCGCTTCCAATAAGGACACTTTTATCTGAATCGCAGAAGGTAGCGGCGGAATGGGCCTCTCACTTCTGAATGTCTTCGTTTCGCGCGCCGGGTTTTATCAAAAAACGCTGCGCCAGTTGATTTTGAAATTCCCGCTGGATATCGTCGCGTTCCGTGTTCCCGAACTAAAGTAGCTTCAATAGAGCGGATATTACACATGTATATTTTGTAATGTAATATCATCTCGAGTCAATTTTTATTGAAAATAAAATTGATTTTACATTGTATTTAACCTTGCAAACATTGCTCTTAACTACGGAAAAAACTACAATTAGAACAATTCACTTCCAGTTTTTTTCCCTTGAAGAAAAAAAATATTTAAAACGTTTTAGCAGTTTCTACATATTTAAATAATGACAAATCAATTAGGAGTTCAGTACTCAGAACTTAGCTGCAGTAAGCAAATAGGAATCGAAATCTGTTAAAAAATGATAATAAGACCTATTTTAATTTTTATCAGAAACATTCGAGTTAAACGTACGTTTACGTCCATTATTGACTCATATGTACTGCGATATTATATACTTAATTGTGTTTCGTCTGTTTCAGGTAAGCACATCTATCTCCGATGCCGCGTCGAAGGTACGGGCGTGCGAACAGAGCCTCGATTTTAATTAATAACGGACTGTTGACTCTTTTGATTGATTAATTATTATTATAAAATTCGCAACGTCCAGCGCCGCGGCAGCGCCGGCCCTGATTGACACATTTTAGCGTTAATTGACGCGCGACGCGTATTTTAAATTGTGCGAGTAATTGTATTACCGGACCGGTCATAATCGATCGCCCGCGCTCGCCCGCCCCGGCCTGGCCAAGGCCGAAATGCATTTAAGTCGGAAACCGTCGCTTTCGTAACACCGAACGCGTTAATGCAACAATTAATTAAACAGTCTGACAGGACTCTGTTTTTTTTTCTTTCCCAAAACGATCAATGCAAATGATTACGGGCGTCCTTTGTCGTCAATCAAACTTATACGGAAAAGTTGTTTAATGTTCATATCGTTGTCTCAAAATGGCCCTTTTTAAGGTTTTAATAAATGGTTGCAAACATTCGCAAAGATAAATTGAACTTTTTAACTTTAATTGGCTTTCAAACAAATGTAGAAAAGTATTTCGTCAAAGAGGTACTGCTGTTTTTCAATGATGGCTTTTAAATTGTAATGCGTGAGACATTTTATCCTGTTCTTTTTTGTCATTTCTTTATTGCATCTTGCCCAAAATCTCATTATATCACACCGAGGTATCAAAATTAACTAGTCGCGTTACATGATTTATAGCAAAATTAACAAGTGCAGTAGCGTAATTAAAACAAAACATTGGTTTGTCGGTTTGTAGTGTCACATTGTAACATCTGATCGATGTCTTCGCCTTTCCGATATGACGTGGAAGTTTTGAGATGACATTATCATAGATTCTACAATCTATTAACACAATAATAAACATACGAGCTTGAAATATTGTTTTGCTAGCTAACTATAATGATTTTAATTGTTTTAACAATATTTTATACAGCACATTTGTTGGCAACACTAAAAAAGTGTCATTCTATGTGGTATAAATGAAGTAGTTATTATATTATATTCGCAAATCCCTTATTTTAATAAAATTGCAAGAATATTTTGTTTTAGCGTGGTAAATTTTTATTTGAACTGTAAAAATGTTCTCTTTCAAAGCATCGCCGGCACGTTTATATTGGATGCCGAGCAAATAAACTTTGCAATAATAATCCGCGGCGTATTTTAAAAGAGCAAAACCTTGTAGCCGGCAAAAAAACTGCCCACCTCCACGCCTATCAATCAAACGTCAGGCCTCCCCGCAGTGTAAACAGCGACAGGTCAAGGGTCCCTCGCGTCTGCCCCCCCCCCACTCCTTGCGCTCCCCCCGGAGGGGAGACGTCTGACTTGATTGATTCCACATTGACGTGCACATGTATTCGGCAAGACATCGACGCGAAAGTTTTGGTTTTGGCCGTATTAAAATAACCGACAATAACGTCGGGACTAAGAAAACCCTGAGGCACTCCATAACAAACGTGTCGTAAGTATACAAGTTTTAATTATCCTTCACAAATTACATCTCGCAATAAGATCTGAATTACCTACGTTAACAGCTCTAAAAATACATAATACGTGATATGCCTCTTTCTTGTCCTTAAATCCAATAGTCATTTATAAAGGCTCTCTTCATAGTTACGTTCGATATAAGGGAAATTTTTCTAAAGATGCTCAAAGTTTAATTCTATAATAATATTAATTCACAAATTTTCCAGTACTGTCTAAACCTTTTTTAAAACGAACTATAAAATAAATCTTTATATTTCGTAACAAAACTACATTACTATTTCACCAACTGGGCAACTTGATTACAATTAAGAAGTTTTCTGTCCTACTCAATAGATTTTACGCGTAATAATAAACAGTTTCGATGGGAAAGTTGTTACGAATTCGCATTTCGTCTTTATCACGGATCACGATGGACCAAGATTCCCGGGGCGCGGTGCTATGAAATATTAATTCTCATCATATCGCGAGTGATTGACGGCTGTCTACGCGAGGATATATCCGTCACGGGTGGTAAACACCCCCCCTCCCCGCCCCGTCCCCTTCCAGAACGCCCAGTCCCCTCGAGTGAAATATCTCAATCTTTGGCTCGATTTATTGATTGATTCATTGATTCCTCGCCTGCCGGACCGAATTTACAGTCCTCAGCCAGATCTGATTGGGCTCCCGTCAAACACCGTTCGATGCGAAATAATTTATTGCTTTACCCGAACTGTTAATGCAAGCTTTTGTTTTGCAGCACCGCAGTGCGCTGGGTGTGTTTAGACTTTCACTCATACGGCTTACTGTTGTATATTTTAAACGCCGAGTAAGAACTGCGTGCTCAAAGCGTTTGCAATTTGCTCACGTTAATATTAAATCACAGTCCTTATGGAGAGTATGGAGTGCCGTCAAAAAGCTAAAGAAAACGAGGTGCGAAAGTCCTCCCCCTCTACTCGGGTACCCGCGCGACATCTGCTCGCTATTTGTCAAACATCGTTTACTATTTTCGTCGGTAGCGCGCAACATTCACTTTGTCACGCGATGCATATGGGAGCGGGAATATTAGCTGGTCAAAGGCGGGAATCGATTTGCCTTCATTTTCATTTTCCCCGGGTAGATTACCATCAACTTCTTAAAATTGCTATATGATGATTAGTCAAAAATTACTACATTGGTGTCAAAAATGTCTCAGATCTACAATCGGCATGGTAAATGTCTAAGATCAGACCTCTGAAACACGTGTGACCTCTAATAATGTCTATCAATCCCCCCCCCCCCCCCCCCCCCCCCCTCACGATTTCACACTTCAAATCGTAGCTGTAATTATATAAGCGCTCTATCGGACGCCTGCTTGATATTATTTCAATTTATCGTAAATTTTCTATCGTGTAATGTTCTCTAAGTTTCTAAGTGAATCCCTTAAGATTATGGCGTCTGTGATGAATCCCAATAGGTCACGTTTGCCCAATACATGTTAAATCAAATTTATGTTTAGCTATGTTACAATATTAATTGTGGTAAATACTAAAACTAGACATTAATAGTGACGATTGTGCAAGCAGTATACCCATGAACCTGATTGGAAAAGCAGGTCGATCACGACTCGTCAAGCATATTTTTCACAGTAGTATTAAATAAGCTATTAAATAATTGTTTTACTTTTTTCACAAACTCCTCAGAACTATGAAAACGATTAAAATTAAAGTATGTGAAAATAAATGCAGGTGGCCTTTATTTCTTGAAGTCGACAAATAAGTCAGCTGCTGTTTTAACTCTCGTATTCAATAAAAAGTAATGGCGATTATTGTGAAATACGCGAGTGACAGGTATTACGAGTTATAAGCTTAATTTCCTGTCAATCCGTTCCCTCGTCGGAACCGTACCTTTTCATAGCAATTTCAATTGGATTATTTATTTTTGCAGACGCTCTTTAGCAGAGGCTCTGCTATATTAGTTCTACCGTGACGTCTCACATCACACGTGGACATCGTATTGACAACTAAACAGTTTGAATTTCTTTTAAATGTCACTGCGCACCACATCACCTTTGCTAACGTGTACTTAAAGTTCAATTCTCCAATCGCAAGCAAAGTAACACTTGGGTTTCTTAAGAGAGATTTGAGCAATTCATCTTTTTCATTGGAATTAGCTCTTAGTACACGGGGATAAAGTTTAAAATTAACCGTAAAAGGCGCCGTGCGCTTGTTTGTGACAGACTCCAAGGTTGTTTTGATGGAGTGGGCCGTCAATTAAATAGGCGAGTACTCAGTACGTCTACTGTATGATTGAGTGCAGTGATGCAGATTTACTTTGAAGATATCGCTTTGTATCCACCTCTGCTGTTGTTTTATTTGGATCCCTTAAGAATCCAATTTATTAACATCGCCCTGGTCCTCATTTTATGAATCTCTGTTTTATCACCCAATTGGCGCAGTGGATAGTACCCCGTTCTTGCGAGAGAGGGTGTAGGTTCGATCCCCACTAGTGGAAAAAAATGTGTGATGAACATAGTGCTGTCCTGAAATATTTTTTAGATATCCTAGTAATTATTTTAAGGCGTAGAGATGTGGATTCGGAAATTTCAACATGCCTTCATCCGCGGTCAACTAACTTACTAAATTATCTCTAAATATGTACGTCAATTTGTAAAGCTCCCTGTTTATAGCAGCTTATAAGTCAACATGTTATTCGCGTTAACACGTGCTATTTAATGTAAGTTGTTCTAAACGTACGGAGGGGAGGAAAAAATCGATGATCGGTACATTGTCCGACCCACATCGACTTTGAGCTGTCAAGTTTGATTGAATCAACTCTTTAAAGAGTTACTGAAAGGTTAGAAAGGGCGGTGTTAATAGAAATATTTACAAATATGACATTTTTTACTTTCGCTAAGTAATACAATGATCCGGTAGTAAGCAATCATATCGGAAATTATGTATTCAATTGTATTCGAGGTCACTAAGCATGATTTATTAAAGTGACAGCTTTGCTAATTCGTCCGTTGATAAACCGCACCGTGCTACGAGTTCCGTGGCAATATATAACGCAAATGAAAGCACTGGTGCCGTGAGACGTTGAGGACCATCCATTTCCGCGCTATGAAGACGTATGCCGTAGGTTGTGGACTTTAAATGGGATTTATCGGCCGTGCACTGGCTGAAACTATTACTATATCGACCATATGCACATCGCAATCACTTCGGACGTATAGTATGTAGTATACACAATTAACGGGAATACGAAAGCGGAACTCTTTTGATAAACTATCGTTCATTCACTGTTTCTTTCAGCAGAATCAAAAGTCGGTTTATTTCACGTGCTAAGTTCGGAAAGGTGCTGCAAGTCAGAACATGATGCTACCCAAAAATATTTCTTACATGTGTATGCAATATTTCTTACATGTAAATGTTTATTACATGTGAACATGCTATAAAATATAAGGCTACGTAGTAACGAATACGGCTGCTTAACAGCTACGTGTACCAGGAGTGTATAGCCGTGGCGGGGCGCGGGCCAAGTCGAGCGGGCCCACCCGGCCGCCTCTGTCCGCCGCAAAGGCGGTGGGCGAATAAAGCGGTGGACAAAGACGTCCGTCTGTGCGCGACATCTGAGCGACGTGTGTCGCCCCCCCCCCCCCCCACCCCCCTCTCCAGCCCCCGCCGCCCCCCGGGTCCGTGCCGATAATGATGTTAACTCACCGCCCCGGTCCGGCTGCTTTGTCGCGTTTTTCAGTCTGTTTGCCCGCGCCAGGAGCCGGGGGCGATGCGTATTGTTTTTAAGAGCGGCTTTCACGTCGCTATCGCCTCCGCCTTTGGGAGTGTGCGGAGCATTTGTGCACAAGTGCTCCGAGCTATGATTAGTTTTTGTGCACGGATTATTTAGCCGCGGTTAAGTTTGAATTTGGCCGTTATTAGTACAGTTAATGTTGCGCGTAACGTTTTCCAGTTCATTTGTAATTTTTGGTGTTATTAGGTTTTGTAGTATGGCTTTATAGTATTGATGATCTTGTTGTTTTGATTTGCTTCTTAAATTGGTTGAAAACAGGCATTGAGTCAAGTAGCCTAAGGAATGTTGAGCGAAGTCGTCATTTGTAGAAATGTTTATAAGAAAGTTATATAAGTATTGCGTTGCAAACTATCATAGTTGAACTATCAAACTGCTTTCAATGATAGTAATTTCTTGTATTTACGCGATTACACATTATAAATGAAACTAATTTTACGGATTTATCGCGTTTATTTTTAATTTTAATTCCCGACGTTTAACACCTTAGTCTGTCCCGTGACCATGAACGCTGTAAAGGGTTCGAAACGTCGGGAATTAAAATTAAAAATAAACGCGATAAATCCGTAAAATTAGTTTCATTTATAATGCTTTCAATGATTATAATTTGGAAGAAAACGGATAATTGTGAAGATGACAATTATGTGGACACTAGCTGCTGCCCGCGACTACGTTCGCGGAGAATAGGCTGAAGGCGTAACATTCAGACAGAAAGACAGTTTTACATAAAATATGTATATAAATTATAGCCTATATCTTATTCTGATGTATAAGCTATATTACTGTAAAGTTTCAATAAAATCCATTCAGGAGTATTTGCGTGAAAGAGTAACAAACATCCATCCATAAATACAAACTTTCGCGTTTATAATATTAGTAAGGATAGTTTTAGATCTATCAAGATAGTGTTCGAACGAAACATTGAATGGACTAAAATAAGACCTGGAACTCTAAAAGGTGGTGTGCAACTTCGTCAGCAGCGATGACGTCGAAGGTAACTCGAGACAAAAATATAGCCATCGATATACGTCCGTCACATCCTTAAAGATTACCTTCAATATCCTTTACAAAATTATGATTTCAATTCGTTAGTAGATACAAGCAATTTACAATTGTTAGAACGATGCAATCGAAACATAAACATGAGCGGAAACGCTATGGTGCAAATTCCTTCGAATAAATTCCATCGCTGCCGGCTGGCTCGGCCCGCCCGCTAAATTGTCTTCAAGAGCTGACCACCCCCCTTACCTAGCGGAAGGGGGTGGCGTGGGCTACCAGCTCCCCGTTCGTCTTGCTTATGACTGACAGCCAGACAGCTTGAGTGATTGAGAGTGACTCAAGCCTTAATGCGCTCGGGCGAGGCGAGTCCCCGACCCCCGGGGGCCGTAAGTGCGAGTTCATCGCACGCGATTATCGCCTTTCGCGCTCATGCCACACCAGCCAAGTTCCCGTAGGGCCGGATGAGATACGTCGTTTCGTTAAAGGTGCCCGTGCGGTGTTATTATGAATTAAAATATGGTGCATCGTTTTTAATGCGCTTCGCGGTGTTCGCAATTAGATATCACGTTCCCCGCACGTCGCCCGCTTGATGGAAGGCTCCGGAATGTTCTGCGAAATAATAAGCGCCAATTTAATCTTGTCCGTGGCGTTTCTGCCCAGCGACCTTGAAATGCCGCACCGTGGAGGATTAAAAACTTCTTTGTTTTAATCGGGACACAAAAGGATAGATCCGTATCCATATAGGACATTTATGTTGTGGTCTGAGATAGGTATAAGTTTAGTAGGGACACAAGTCTTCTCTGTTATACTTCCGCGTTCCCTCTGGTGAGTGAGGTAGCCGGGGCCCACTTTATTAAAATGTGGCGACGTATCTAACACCCTATGGGTTTTGCAAATATCAACGGTCGGCGGTTATCACTTCACATTAGGTGAACCGCCAGCTAATTTGCCTCCTTCTCACATAAAAAAAATAACATTGTTATTACCTCTGGTATGATATACATATTTTTTCATTTCGTTAATCACACTGAGATAATTCCATGACTATTTACTTCGGTGTATCTATAATATCTTCAGCGTATTTAATAGAGAAATCCGATAAATATTACGTGGTAATATCAAAGGGAACGTAGCGAGTCCGCACGCAAGCGAATGGACAGACAGACGGACAGCTAATCAGGCGGGCACGTCCATCCACTCTGGTTAACTTGTATCATCGTTCGCAACACAAAAATAATATCTTCAAGCTATTTCATCCACGGACTTGACATATACCCTCATTGATATAGATATATGAAAGTATTTCTCATCCACAAAGACCAACGAATTTTAGAATTAATTTTTTCCCGTAAACTATATAGCATAGATAGCGTTTTCTGTCCAATATTCATGGATGCACCATCCATGTTCCTGGTAATTTCGGCTGTTATTTAGGCCAATAACTGGGAAACTTAGTGATCAACACCGTTGAGATATTAACTTGCTAACTTTGATTACAAGTAAGTACTACTTTTATCGGCACTAGGTCACTACAGCAATAAATATATTCCGTTTTCGTAATGTTTATCTATTATTTATTTCTTCTAATACTTACTAATATTCTATTACCATTTGATTACAATAACGAGTACTTTAAAAGAAAGGTCTTATTAACAACTTAAAAGGTTAAATTATGTTGCAATAAATTTTAAGCAGAATTTGGGCGAATACTTTTATTTCGTTTACGATTTATGTCCATTCAGCTTAAGTTAAACCGAAAATGCTACGATCGAATCGCTCGCATACCATTCTAACAGTCGATATTAGAAGCGTTCGTCCAATAAAGTTCGAACTCAATCGACGAAAATCTCTCCCCGCTGCCTAAGTGTCCAAATAGACATATTTTACGTCGCCGCACGTGGAGCGCGTGCCAAACGGCGCTCTCGTCGGGAATCGAACCGGGCACCCACCTAGGGCGGCTTATTTACAGTGCCGCCGAATCGATATGTTCCGAATGAAATTGTCGAGCGATCATCGTGTTTGACACCCACGCGACGCTCTAGCGGTGTTAATTTACACGAAATTCGACTTTGACGCGCTCGCAATAAAGTGCACGCGATATGCGAACGGTGCGCCGTTAGCGTAGTTTGCGATCTTTTGATGCTTATGTTCGCCTGGTACTCGCCGTAGCAATAATGATGGCTATTTGTGATGCAAATATTACTCCAGCCCCCTTTTTTATTCATGATCCGCAAGGCTTCTAATAAACTAAGTAAAAATCTAATTTAGGTTAATAAAGCTATCTAGATTTTCGTTGTTTTTTCCATTCTGAATCTCATTAAAAGAACATCACTTTGTAAAGATCTTAATAAAAACAATCACCTTCACGACTATTCCTACTAAGACGCCACGTATATATAGCATACATCATTATTATTGGATTCGGTCGAACGAAAACAAATTGTATGTATAACGTATGGGCATCATGTTAGGCCGCCGCGGGAGCAATTTATTAACTTGTCTCCTTGTTAAGCTAATTACGTCAATCATCTGTCAATCTAGCGGCTGATTGAATCAGACGGGTCGCGGGGTCATTGCCGGGCGTTGACTGCTTGGCCCTAATTTTTATTGGGCCCCCAGGCGCACTGTACGGCCGCAGCTGAGGTGCGAATGTCATTTCGCACTGTTTGTGTTTCAGTAAGGATCCTTTGGAATTGCGCGGCGCTGATATAAATGTGCAAGTGTGCGTGTCTTTGCGTGAGAGTGTGTTTTCCCTTCAAGCAGAAATGATCAAAGAACTTTAATAAAATTAGAAATGGAGGAATAAACTGAATTTTTTGCATTTGTAAGTCACATACGGGTCATGTTGAAAATTAAAGTCAGTGATTCATAAATTTGCATCTACATTTACTTTTCTTTTAATGTTTGATGATTTTTGTTCAACCGTATGTGTGTAACATTTTCGTGGGACAAATAACATAGGTAATAAGCATAGGGTACTCCGTGGTGCAATTGCCGAGACTGGTATTTGTGTGACTGGCAGATAATTGTTTCCAATCTGGGTATTAGTATACGTGAAATTTATGTTTGTAAAATATCCACCCAGATTAATGTTATCCTAGAGTAAGGGCAATGTCTATAATAATATTAAAAAAATGTAGGGAACATTATCAGGAGACGATGTCCCGCAGCCGTGTGGAAGCCACCCGTCCATTTCAGGCGATTGTGGCTTGTCCGGTTCTAAGTCCAATCGCCTGATCGTCAACAAGCCATCAATCAATTTATTAATTGATACCAGCTCAACTGACACAATCTACCTTTATTATTAAATGATAACGCTTCGATCCATCGATATAACGCGCATCCTTCCAGCTTTTTTCGGGACAGTAAATATAGTAAAGTTTAAAATTTAAACAGCATAAAATATGCTGTAGCGAAGGCTACAATGAAGTTTAAAAATCTCTTAAAAACTACTAGAAATACTGTGTTCTATATATCCTATGTCAATACTATCCGAGTAATTTGATAATTTATCTGGGCGTGTTTGTTGTCGCCGTATCTTTATTATTTATTGGTGAAGTGTTTAAAATTAGCTTGTTTGGTATTTTATTTGCTAATTAATAAAATGCACGTATGCCAATTTTTCATGAGACCTGCTGAATGTTTTCCACTGTATTAATTTGTTGATTGAAAACTTCTTGAGCACACGTCAAGAATTAAAATAAAATCGTCCGTTTATATGTCACAATGCTTTATGCAGATCGATAAAATTCTAAATTTAGACAATCTTTCTGATTAGCGATAGGGTCTGAAGTCAATTAATTTATTGATTCAACCTATTGCTTCTAAATTTAGGCTTTTGTTATAATTAGTGATAATTGAAGTCATACGATTCAACCTACCGACGTTCGAACAAATTGCATTTCTAATTCGTCTTGATTTGAAACTATTTCGTTTCCATTTCCATTTTTTTTTTGTGAAAAGTTAGCTTTCGTAACTTAAAAAAATGTATTCCTACACTATAGACCAATCCAATTGTGGTCTTCACAAACATGAAACTCACTTACACTTAAAAAACTAAGCATGGATTATAAACTATTTCTATATAAAACTAATAAACAAGCTTAATTCTCTTTATTTGAAAAGGCTAACAACTGCAGTGCACGACGAATTTGTAGTATTGTGAGATTCAAACGCAATTAAATCGTACGATTTGAAATAACTACCAGATAAGATAAGAACTGCTCATTTACAATAGCAATAAAGCTGTGGATTAGAGAACGGCGCGAAGTGCTTAGTGTTATTGCGGCTGTAGCGTTATCTGAATCATCACAAGTATTTGAAACGCAGCGCATGGTCTTCAACTGTCTTGTTTTAAAGTAACAATAGATACCTCAGTCTACGAATTGAGTTAAACCATGTAAGAGCTTGTGGTATAAATTGAATAGGATCGATCCTGAAGGAAAACATGTCAAGGAAATCAACTGATAAATAATATTGACAACGCATAAATTGGTACATTCGTCTAGTATTATTTAACTAAAAAATAACACGGTTAGAACTGACCAATTACTTGTGTTACCCGTAGACAGGTTATCCGCTTTCTCATTTTTTTACCTTCTTCTTTCTTACCTTATAGCTTTTGTTACCTTCTTTTACGAAATCGAATCCAATGCATACAACCAATTGATTCTCTAGAGCCAAAAGAAAAGGGAAACATGCAAAAGATGCTCAAAGAGATCCGGTCGGTGCGGGTCGAGGGGTCAGTCCACGCGAAGGCTGGATTAACAACCCCCTCGAACCACCCCCTGTCACTCCGCGCCCGACGAGATAAACGTCAGCCCGGAGCACCGCTGATGGCCAGCTTTGTTGATTTTAATCGCTCATCTCGCGTCTTGGACTAATTGACTATTGTGATCATCGTTTTGTTCCTCAACCGAGTCAGAAATAGCGAATTCTATTGTTTAAACGTTATTAATGTTATTTTATGTATTGCCTGCGTTTTTTTACAAACACAGCTTAGATATAGAGAGAAAGCCATCGTAACCGTCATACATACGATGAAATAATAGAAGGATGTGCATTGTCCAGTCTTATGCGTCACTCCGCTGCAAGACGTGCATGGACCGCTCCGACGTTTCCGAAGCGGCAATAATCGGCATTAATCGCATCATACACGGGGGCGTTATCTGCGGGATCTCAGCGGCCCGGCACTCGAACCTGCGCCCTCAAGCATCCGCCTGATTGATGGCAGGCCGGTGCGATGCGAATCTACTGACGCGACTCCGTGCTCAGGGCTGCCTAACCACAGCCTTATATCCGCGAAACCGACAAGAATAATAATATTTTAGGACACATTTTACACAGTATTCTCAAGTCCCAAACTAAGTGACGTTTGTACTCAGGGTACTAGATAATTAGAAACGCTTACAAGCGCTACTTAAAGATGCTTTTCTTTGGTATATAATTACATATACACTGGAAAAACATTACGTTCATTACACGATATTTTTCCAGTGGTGGGAATCGAACCCTCAGGCGCATGAGGCAAGTTCAATTCAACAGCACATCTTGTCGATGTCATGGCATCTTTCGTTTTCTGTAGAAACAGTTCATCACAAAGATCCAAAAACAGGATTCAAACATTGTATAACCATCCTGTATTTTCTGTTTGTTTAATAAGTAAATGTATGCTTTGAGTTATCTGTATCATTTATGATTTGTGGATTTCTACGCATATTTTTATAGTCTATCTGAAATACAGGATTGACCGTTTTAAAAATTAGTTCCCAATATCTGATCAATATCTCTTATCTAAGCCTGTCCTGTCGTCATTATACCCTATGGTTTAATATTTTTCACCGAAAATTAAACTCTTCATCTTAATCTTCATTATTTAAGTCTCTGAATCAATTTGATAGTTTCCTAAAACTTATAGGAATAGATAATAGGAGTAGATAAAAAAGATAATTTAATTAAATAAATTACATTGGATCCGATAACTTTACAACAATTATCTATCATCAACGAAATTAAATTTTCAAGAATTGATCAGATAACAGGCGAATGGAAAATTTCACACGTATCATTCTGTTCACTTGCGGAGCTAAATCGGCACAACAGCTGATATGGGATCACGCATAAATCGATGATAAAGCCGAATCGATCATTACTGCCCTGTCTCCAACCGCCGTAGCTATCTTAATCTATTATTTTTAATTAACTGCTAATCATGCTGTTTGTGTAATTTGCGGACTTACGATGTGTTATCGGAAGGTATCCGCAAGGAGAACTGCTCGACGAAACAATTTTTACGGAGATTGTCGATTTAATTCTATTTTCCAGGGTTCCAAAGGGTAAAGCGGGACCCTATTACTAAGTGTAGGAATTTAGGTTTCCTAGAACTTGATATAAAACACTCTTGATATAAGTTAAAAACTGTATTGTCCGAAAATTAATAAACAACTTGATAATGATAAATGAGAACGCGTGACATGCTTGATGACTGACAGCGAACTGAATTTAATACCGATTATATTAGAACACAACAATAATGATGAGGCGTGCAATTGACGCCGTTTCGTAATAATTATGTCGAGTGTAGCTCGTACACTAAGACACCGCTGTTCGTCTGTCTATCTGTCACCAGTCTATATATCATGAACCGTGATAGTTGAAATTTTCACAGATGATATATTTCTGTTGCTGCTATAACAGCAAATACAAAAAAAACAGAACAAAAGATATTTAAGTGGGGCTCCCATATAACAGGCACGATTTTTTTACCGTTTTTATAAATAATGGCACGGAACCCTTCATGCGCGAGGCCGTCTCGCACTTTGCCGATTTTTCACTTTGTAGTAAAGTCCTTAAATTTCATCTAATGGTATGTGGTTTGTGGTAAATTCGAGGACCAATAATGTAAGAAACTCTTATAAAGGAAAAAAAAAAACAAATTGGTTTCAAGCGATCACTATTTCTAAAATGTATCGGTACAAATGTACCCTTGTATGATAATGCTGATAAGAAAGCTGTTACCGGTTAGTAAATTTGACTAACTCAAGCCCTGTTCAGACACATTTTTACATTACGTTATTTTTTCGCAAAACAAGCAAAGCTTTTTTTTTTTTGTAAATGTGTATGTGATATGTAAAGTGTGTTTTAATGTGAAAAGTTGCAAAGCGAGCAGGTCGTTCACTTGATGTTAAGTGAATACCACCGTCCATGGACATCTGCTACACCCAAGTGTTTGCAGATGCGTCGACAACCTTTTGGAAATTGGGCTAAGGGTTCCTCACTCACCAGACGAAACGCGAAAATATTTGTCATACTTACACTTTACGCTAGTCTTCTGCGAGGTCGTGGTACTTACCCGGACGAGCCTGCCCTTACGTGCAACAGCCGAGGCTGCTGCGTGGCCCTACCACCGTGGAGAGCTTGTAAATAGGTAGCTGATGAACATCATTTACATATAATTTTACTTTGACTTTCATAAAATTTAATAGGTGAATTAATTGTTACCAATATTTTATCTCGAATTAGAGAAGTTAACTCTTATGTAAAATTTTGGTTTATGTTAATTCTAAACGGAGTACTCGATCGTAAGTGGCATCCCTTAAGATGCAACTTGACGCATGAATAAGCTAACTTAAGGCTATATAAAACAAAGACCAACAAATATCAAAGGTATGACGTGTCGAGGCTTTACATTCATTCATTCATTTTACTAATGTTATAGAGTCGCATGTTTATTAACAAAATGGAACAGTAATAAATGATATTTCCTAAATAGTGAAACATTTAGAACGAGAGAAAGAAATTATATACGACACTTAAATAGTGACCGGTGATAAAAATAAACATTTATCGGCTTACAGTTCTTACGTGAGTTCGCGGTTTCGAAATGAAAAAACAAGTCTTTTCAAAATTAATATGAATGTATTGTACACTATGATTTACTATCGGAGCATCGCTGTTCGTAGACAAGCGTATCTGATTCTATTTCTAACTGGGAACGTTTATAAAGAAGCGTCATCTCTGCCCACTCCCGATTCGTCAATAACGGAAGCCGAGGAGACAAATTGGCGACGAGGCCCAGGTGTGGCGGCCTAGCAGCCCCGTCGACCTGATCAACCGATTCAATTGATTGCCACAATAAATAGGTGCTTATGCACTGCGAATTCGGCGTCTCAAAGCGGACGGACTCTAAACCTTACCTTTAATGATCTTGCTTTTCAGTCTTTTTACTTTCAAAGCTTTGAATAGCCGCAAAAAATCCAGTTCGTTTAACTAATCTGATATACCACAACAGACTTACAAAGGTTATTCGGCATTCCAATAGGATTTCTTACTTCGATTGTGTGTTAAAAGTATCTCAGCTGGCGTTACTTTATGCACGATGTAGAGCTGTACACGAAGTAAGTAAAATAACTTAGGAAGCTATTCCCAGTTAAACACTTAATTGTCATATGATATGCCATTGTTACGCAATCAACTTGTTAAGAACATATGGGATATAAATAGTACGTCAACCGTAAATTCACACACAAACACTTTTCTTATTTATTATACAAATTGCTTTATTGAGGATCGGTTATATCAGTGAGCTAAAAAGCGATTGATGCATCCTTACCGCCGTCGTAGAATACGCCGACGAATGTGGTATCCTTGTTGAATTACCCTTAATAGTATTCTCCATTACCGCGGACGGAGGGAGCGGGGGGCGTTATTCGACGCCAGACCAAGGTGTCTCAGGAGAGCAATAACGATGAACAGACGCTAAAGAAGTGCATTCATTTGCATTTCTATGCAGTCGACTTCGACACACGTGCTATAGATGTAGACCAGACTCACATCCACTGCCGGTTGGCTACATTGAAAACTTTAGCTACGTTTCAATGCTGAAAAGCGTGAAGCACCATCTTTTGTTTCATATGAGTACATTTCTCGTTAAGAATCTTTATAAATTATTAACTAACATCCGTGTCTCCATTGACATTTGCAACACCCTTAAGGTTGCAAATGCGTTGCAACCTTTTAAAAGACTGTGGTACGGAACAGAAAAACTGAATTTAATAATGTTCTCTTGTTTAAATTATAATATAATGTTCTCTTGTCTAAATTATAATATAATGCAAATATAATAGCAATAGTGACACCTCTCATTCATATATTTATTGTAAAATGTAATCCTGATAAGTTTATTTACAAAAAAGTTATTAGGTGGCTGACATTAAGCCAAAAGCCTTAAGCTCGGTGAGCAATAGATAGCATAGGATACCATCCTAGCCTATTAGGATTAAAAGACATATTAGACCCAGTATATGCAATTTAAACGTTTATCAGGCGATGTATCTATCTCGTGGCATCTATTAACACATAAAAATAAAGCACGCACACAAAGTAATAGATCATCCTTTCAAATAAACACCATTTGACTATATGAAGAGGGAATAAGTCAATTCCGAGGCTCAACCTGACGTCTCCAAAAAGGCATTCGTTTAACGGGTCAAAATGATCTCAGTGAAGTATGATTGACCAAGTGATCGCCCTGTCAGAGCTAAAAGCCGGCCAGGAGTTATGAATAATGTTATAATTACGGGCCCCGGGATACGTCTTAATATCAATAAAGGCACAAATAACTCAGGTAGGGTCCACTAATGCCCGTTGAGCAAACATCAATCAATCAATGCTCTTGATATGTTTAAACTTGAAGCAAAAACTGTTTCCTTCGGCGATAGCTTAATATGGATGTGCCTCGACGTGATATGAGTAATGAATCTTATAATTACTTTTTTATATTTATATGATACACTTACACTTACAACATTAGGTGCTAAGCTTATACGGCTTCGAAGTTAATGTTATAAGAGATGGATAGAAGTTATTAAAGGTTAAGAATTTACCAATTTCATCTTTCTCCTTACGTTTCGATCAACTTTTTTATACAAAAACCTTTTTCCTATTAATAACAAAACCAATTAACATTGCTCTAAATACACTTTCAATGTATCACAATCCAATCGTAATGGGAGTGATTGAAAAAATAAAGAAGTAAACGTCGAATACCTTACAACATAGTCATATTATTACAATTTGCATGACGCTGGTAGGGCCATGCAACAGATTTCGCTGTTGCATGAATGGGCTGGCTCGTCCGGGCAAGTACCACGACCTCACAGAAGACCGGCGTGCAGTGGAAGTACTCTCTCACATAAAAAAGACGATGGCAAGCGAGCCGGTGGTTCACCTGATGGTAAGTGAAAACCGCCGCCCGTGGACATTTGCAACACCCGTAGGGTTGCAGATGCATTGCCACCGTATAATAAAGTCGGTCCCGGCTCACTCACGAAACGCAGAATTGTAATACATCTACTTTACGCCGCTCTTCTGTGAGGTCGTGCCACTTACAAGGACGGACCTGTACATTCGTGCAACAGTGTTGCGTGGCCGTACCAACGTAAACTCAACTCAAAAAAAAACTTAACACAATAACTCTCACAAAAAAAAATTTACAAACTTTTCTAAGACTGAATTGAATCTTACGCGGTGGCTCCACGCAATACTTACGGGCGCGAGCAAAAAGACACGGCGTTTGCCTGACAATGAGCCGTTGAAATGTAAGGTCGATGCGCGCGCACGGCCCGCCTTAGTGCCGCGTCGTGTTTATTTTGGTTGCTCTCGGCCGGTGCGGGCGTCAGGTGTGTCCCGGCTTACTTTTGACATCTGTCGGCCGGTGCACGTCACGGTGGGACGTCTACTATCGTTTAGGTCCAAACCGCGACTCACGATCTAGTTATTTAGGTGTCTTATATATGTGCCGATCTAGGTATTTAGGCATCCTATATGTGTGCCGGTCTAGTTATTTAGCCATCCTCTGTGTGTGCATCGGTGTTGTTGGCTCCAGCGTTGGGAGTCGTGGTTTCGATTCCGACGCAATCGTGGGTTCGATTCCCACACGGGAAAAGTATTTGTGTGACCCGCAGATAATTGTTAGGTATCTGGGTTTTTCCCGAGTTGGGTAGACGTCAGCTAGGCGGCCGGTCGTTAAAATGCTAGGCAATACCGTTTCCAATAAGATTAACATGTTGTGCCGACTCCACGGAGGGGGAAACGTATGCACCAGAGATGGAATGGATCTGTGCTATTTCATCTGTAAATTCTCTAGGCTGTTTTCTGTTAATTCTCTTCGCAATCTAGGCTCTTTGCTGGGCTGTAAGGATGAGATAATGAAGCTAGTAGTACGAGTATATTACGTCCAGAATCTCATCTTATTTTATAAAAGCAAGAATTTTCAAATGTACCTATCTCGCCTAAATATATCGTGTAAAAATTACCGACATGTTAAATTTAAATTGCGTTAGCAATATCGATGATAAATGGCCACTAGGATTTATTCTAGAAGAGATATCCATTCTACATTTGTCGAGCAAATTCCTTAATGTAACTTGGACTTAAAAAAAGCAAAAGAAACAAGTAAATGAAAAGTAGGCTTCGTGTCCGTCGATTAAGCGTAGACCGCGATCAAACGTCCGATTCAATCACACCTTTGTCACTGTTGAGTCCAGTCCCAAACAAACGGCGTCCGCTAAGACATAAGACGAAAAGGAGACACGTGAAAAGCCATCAATAAAAATCGAAAATAACAGACGCTGTCCGCTTGAGAAGAAAACGAGCTACTAATGAACAGAGCGGCGTGTACGGATGGCCGCGCAGGCACCGCTCTGCGGCCATCGGCGGCCTTGTTCCAACGCATCAAGATCCCATTTTGCTCGGAAAGTTGGTTAAGCTCCACGGGTCGGCCGATGCGACGTCAATAAAGATTAAGCGGATTCCCAGAGTCGGGTTACGCGTCTTGGACAGGGAGACGGACAGAAATCCAGTCGCTGACGTGTGATTGACAGCGGGGCGCGCGGTTCGCCCGACGCCGGGGCGCGGAGCGAAGGGGGAAAGAGAAAAAAAAACCTCGTCTCGCGAGGGATATTTCGCGACGAGTTCATTGTAGCCGCCGCTAACTCGCGCCGGCACAGGCGTCACTTTGATCAGTGGCATCGGCCGTCTGATGTGATTTCGATTTATTGAACCTCACTCGATGATCAACGATTATCCTCGCGGCGGATTTGGGCCTTGTAATTCTTGACGACATGACCTTGAGGCGTGATCTATGGTGAGAATTGTGATGCTCAACGCTTGTCACGTTTGCTATGTGATAAGTTCGATCATGTTGTCTTTATCTACCCCTTTAATTTTAAGATTCCATGTGTTGCTTCCATGTGCTTGACTAATGGCTGATCGTTTCGAACTAACGAATGCTGGTAGTGATTTTCTACGTCTTGACGGGGAATTAATAAAATTTGAATGTTTAAAAAAACACAACATGACTTGGCAATTGCCAGCGTGACAGTCACCAGTGAACACTGTCAATCGGCAGCTTTAAATCGCTTTCCTCGCTGCTAAAATACAAACCACTCGCGACGACAGAAATCAGACATTGAATGTTTTTGTTGTCCTCAATGAAATTCTGTAGTCCATTAGATGATACTTAAATATCCCTATGATCTTTATCATGTGATGGCACACCACGATGACGATTAGGAATAAAAACCTATTCTATATTCAGATTATCAATATCAGTAGTAATATTTGGTCAAGACGAAATAATCAGCTCTGAGCAGCCCTACGTCCCAATGTATTACTATAATATATAATATCTAATTTTAAGAACCTATTTAATATTTGAACATCAAATTTTCAACAAGATCAATATAAGTCATAATAAGTCTGGGCCGATTGCCTTCCCGTTGCGTTGTGAGCTGATCCATAACAAAGCATTCCTTCAAATGCTAAGAAAACAATATAGATTAAGGACGTTCAGAATTACGTCGGTGTGGAATCAGCCGTTAAGCTTAGTGGCTAGAGCGCCAGAGCGCGAATCTCGAAGACGTGGGTTCGATTCCTACAGCGGCGAGAAACTTTTCCTTCCTTTTTTCTTCAAATTTTAAGATTTCGATTTGTCTTCGTACCTCAGTCGGTCGGAAGCAGCATCAACAGCCAAATATTTTACCCGCTAGGGATTTGTGGCAAGTAATTTGTGTCATCCATCAATCGCTCTACGGTGGCGCGGCCGCGCTCGAGGAGTTGGAATTGACATAATGTGCCGCTCGCGTGTGGCCGGTTCCTGGAAACCGCGGGCGCAAGAAGGCCCGGGATGAGCCGAGAAAGGGAAACCCTAGACGTCTACGTCAGTGCGATCAGTGTGGTTTCGGTGATCGGTGCCCGTGAGTGTTCACTTTCTAGGTTAAATGTTAAACGCAGATTTTAAAATACAGAGCTTAAATCGACCATCTGTTGAAAGAAAAAATACGATCCTATTCTCGACATTGTTAAGGTGATTTTTAATCCGTTCTAAAATTCTTAATTTTTCTTTCGTTCTAAAATTTTTGTTGTATGCACGTGAGCAATTATCAGCACCGTTGAGTTTTAATTTTTCTGATATGTACGTGCAAAGCTGTAATAAGACCGCCTTTGCTGAACTGGCTGCGGCGTGGAGGGTTGCGGGTTCGATTCCCATACGGGACAAGTATTTGTGTGACCCACAGATATAATTGTTCCGGATCTGGGAGTTTGCTGATGATAAGTGCAAGTCACTGATTATAGATTTATACTGACAGCAACAGATAGTCAAAAATATAAGCTTTATTAGCAGTCTTTTAACAACTCAGTGAAACATCACAGACAACTCAATTTTATAATATACCTGTACCACTTTCTCCAAGTAATGGCAACACCTTACAATACATTTAATTATCACGTTCTTAACATTCTCATTCCTTTAGCTTTTGACTCATATCGGTAATGGCTCCGAAATTTGGAGCGGCGTTACATTACAACAATAAGGCGATATCGCTCGACCTAATCGCCGTAATTGGGGCCGATAGTGCCAATAATAACTTGAAAAATGCGCCCCTCAGATACAGATCGGATTAACGGCCAACCGAGCACAAAGCCCGGCCAATCAGCGAAACGATTCTTTCGCGGACGCTTCACGTATTTGCTCGTGGGGTGACCAGCCGGACTGAATATATTGAGATATTATATTATTCCCAAGTAAGATCCATGTGAGAATAGTCTCACATGAAGCAATTCGTCTTTCAGGACCGATCGTAGTCTATTCCAATATTAGGAATACACCTAGATAGATAAACCGCTACGTCTTTTTTTATCCCTCGAATGTTGGGCTATTAGCCCATGAATCACTCGTAACTTGTGAAAATACAACATCTGGCTAGTTTACTTTACACTTGGTTACGTTGAGTGCATATCAGATTTTTTATTATTAGATTACTATATATAGAGCCGATTATCCAAAGAATTATATCATCATGACTTTGTATTAATTTACGCCGTTCAACCATGTTGGCCAGGCGACGCGAGGGTTCCACGTGATTCCATTTCGGGGCTTTAATTTGTTCGTTCTGCAGATAAGATTAAGAGCTATAAATAACACTGATACAACGAAAAACCATATCGCGTTTATTATTTATAGCCAATCAATTATGACCTAATCGCATTTCCGTTAAGGACTGCTATCGTAGCTTGTATTTGTCATAAATCTTTGTTGGTATTTGAGGCCGCCTTATTTTGCCCTCATTAATCAATCTTTATCACCTTTCAACGCCAGCAGGTTGGACAGATACCTGAAACAGATCTCGTAAATATATCTAGTGCACCTACTGCATTACATAGTCGCTGCATATAAAATATATATAAAAACTGACCTCTTGATGTTGATGTTTTTTATTTTGTTCATGCGTGTAGTTTTACAAGAAATATTTTCATTTCATTCAGAATTAAAAATTACAATCTATCGAACCCAAATCGGGATTTGAACTGTGGCACCGTGTCACCACGGGTCTGTTCTTGTGCATAGAAGACACTGCGGACTGTCCGATAGTGCCGGCGCACCGGGTGACCCTGTTTACGTCGCATTTCTTCGATTTCGCGGCACGTTCGGGGCGTAATAAGCGGACGTCGGCCGTCCCCCGTCCGTCGCGTCCGTCACCCGGGCGGGTCGTCCCGGGGAGTCCCGGGGAGTGCGGCCATCCCGGGGTGTGGGGCCCGCTGGAGTTAATGAAGTTTCCCCGGCCGCGATTCCCACAGGTCGTCACATGCGGCCGGAGTTTTGCGGGGGCACATATTGCGCACGTCGCGTACGATCGTCAGATATTGCCCGGGCGTAATGTTTTAATAAGCGCATCCCGCCGCCCTAGGAGCCGGTGTGAGCGCCGCCTTATTAATGTCCATTGTTTGGAGTTTTTGCGTTATTGCCTCGTCGGACGTCTTTATTTCCGACGCCCCAACAACTGTAGGTGTCTGTAGCGGAGAAACCTTCAATAAGGTTCTGTCGCTCTAGTAGTTTTGGTCGGGTCGTGTATCCCTTTACACAATATAAAATACAATGTAAGAATTTGAACAATATTGGATTAAGATGTTCATATATAGGTTAATAATTCAACGTGGCTGCAGCCTTTCGTGTATTGTAGATGTGCCTAGACGACGTTAATTACCCAATACCGGAAAAGTTATCTCCAATAGTCTCTTTCCAATTTTCTTCCATTAACAAAAAAGGGTGATTGTATTGAGTGAAGGTATTATCATTATGATAGGCCTATTAAAACTATTTTTGCGCTACTCCCCGAAAAACAATGGTTGCTGGCGACACGGTATTGCTTCGGGTGCATTCCATACAACGCTCATTTATGGAAGTGTATAAAAACGTTTATCACTTTCGTTAATTCTTGAGAAACTATGAAACTGAGAAACTATATCTTCTTAATTCAAGCCCAATCGGAAATTGATTTTTGCATTTAGGAATTAGGAAAAACTGATAACTCATTAGATCTTCGAAGCAACAAGCGCATCACTGTTTTATATTTAGATGTTACGAACCCATTACCACCCAGCTGTTGAGGATAGCAGCTAAACTGTCAATGACATTGTAATCGCGCTCTTTCATTACATACTCCCCGTCGACAGGCGCCGCTCGGACAACGTCCATTACGGCGTCTATTTATTCTAAACTACATGCAATTCAAACTTGGCGCGCGTTGGACGGCCGTCCGGGCAGTCGCGCGTCCAAATTAACAAACTTTTCGCGCGGACCAATGTCTCCTTGCCACGGAAAGTTTGCACCGCACTGTTTCCCCTCCCTCCCCTCCCCCTAGTTTTCGACGAAGCGACATGACAGCTGGATCTGGTTCATTCGCTCCACGGGCGCGGAAAACGGTGACTTGTGACAGTGCTGTCACTGTCGATCGCAAAATCGTGACACCATTGTTGGAGAACTCTTTTGTTTTACGCTTACCTAGCCGTGTCAACCAAATGTATACTTTAAACAGAAGGGGAATCTATACTAGCGAAATGTGTATGTCCAAAAATGTATTAGTTGTTCTAGTCACAAGATACCAGTTGACTGGCTTGTTGGTTTCAAACACTTTTATTGTTTCTTTATTGAAGTATTATCGACAAATTTAGTTAGCAATAAATTTAGGTTAGATACGCTTCGTTAGTTCATTGCGAAGTTAAAGTTGTCGAGCCCTGAAGGTAGTCGACAAGATCCCCCGAGTGCATAAATGACATTTTTCACGTGTTTCTCGCGTTCGCGGGTCAAGTCTGGGGGGTGGAGCACCCCGCCGAGGAGCGCGGGTGGTGTTAGGGGTCGGTCGTTCCAGAAGGCGCGGACGTCTCGCGTCAATCAGTTCGGCCCGACGTGACTCGAATGCAGGCGTTTGCAACGTTAAGAAGTCCCCTTTTATGATTGCCGACGATTATTCGACGTTAGCGTAATCTCGGCGTTGCCTTGGTTCGCGCAAATGTTATAAACGCGACGGCTTTGTGTGCGAGATTATTTTTTATTACTAACTGGCTAGCGCTAGACTATTGACTTTAATTGAAGGAAAATAGTATTCTAGTATCAGCTAGTAGTAAATGCCTAGGCGGCGTTAAACCTGATTCACTTCAAATGACGACCGCTGTAATAAGGTAATATATAGGTGTTAATCAAGATAGTGATATCGATAGTATACGGTACGGGCCTCCGGTGGACCTCCGCGCTTTATACATAATTATACAGGGAGATTTTTTGGGAAATGGCCAAATTTACACAGAAGGTTCAGACTCGGTAGTATAATCGTTTATTGAAACAAAAAGCAAAGTTTTTTTTTCCAAAAAAAATGTCGTTCTGTTCCCCAAAAAACAGAACGTGTTGACAATGCGGTAGTCATTCATACATACCTAAATTTTACCTAGCACGAACTTGTGTGCGTGTTAGTTATGAATGGTCGCGCGTAAAATAAATGAGTTGCGTATAAATCACGCACTTTTTGAGATAAGTTCAAATGAATGTAATTAATTATTTAAGAGTGATTTTAAATGTTTATCATTTTTATAGAACATTATAAGTCTAGAATTAAATAAAAAAAATGGATACACTTAGAAAATCCACCCTGTAAAGAAAACGTATAAGTAAATTAGGTACTTGTTTATCAATAACCATGAAGATTAAAAGGATCCTGATGTTTTTGAAACGACGGTAGTAAACAGGCAAACTACTCTTATGGTATTTAGTGAGCAGCTCTACCAAAGAATATTTACAATAATAAATACGGTCTAGGACAATGATTTCCTTAAAGTATTAGGGTTGGTACTTTGCTCAGATTAAGATTTATTTATATTATAAATAAAGATAAGTAAAATAATATTAAAAAAAATAATTTAGTGGTATGCATTTACTAATCACTTTCGTATATAATGCTCACTCTGCTAACTGCTAATCGCAATATTTCTTTCCTGACGTATGGTGCACAAATTGAATCCAACCAAGACTCAACGTGCATCGCCGGTACATTATATTTATATAAGAGATCTGAACACATAATTAATTAGGAAATTAAAACTTTGACTACAACAAAGAGGAAGAAAAGTAAACTTCAAATAAATAAGTAGTCATTGCTCTACAATTCTCTATGATTACGGTGGTTGGGCCACGCAGCAGCCTCGGCTGTTGCACGAACGGGCAGGCCCGTACGTGTAAGTACCGCGACCTCACAGAAGACCAGCGTAAAGTGGAAGTATGAAAAATTTTTCGCGTTTCGTCTGGTGAGTGAGGTAGCCGGAGCCTAATTTTCAAAAGGTTGTCAACGCATCTGTAACCCTCGGGTGTAGCAGATGTCCATGGGTGGCAGTATTCACCTAACATCAGGTGACCCATCGGCTCGTTTGGCAACTTTTCGCATAAAAAAAAATGATTATGCAAAACTTTGATGTAGACCGGAGTAATGCACACTGGTTAATTAATTAAAGTTTGTACAAAAATGGCTGAAAAATTTTGCGCCACCGCGGGAATCGAACCCGCGTCTCCCGGAATTGCGTCCAGACGCTTCAACCGCTGAGCTAAACGGCTGATCGCCACACCGACGAAAATCTCAACGTATTGTATCCACATTGTTTTTTCAGAATTTTAAGCCATGCTTGGCGCATCCGTTGTCCTCTACAACACTTAAACAATTTCAAACAACGATAACGCCTTTGTTATTGTAAATTTAAGTTTTATATTAAGTTTTTATCGTGATAATTTCCTCACTTTAGTTTTTCTCCGAAAGAAGCGGGATTCTAATCTTATCTAAACATCTTAACTGTAGTGATTACCCTTAAAAAAACTTAATATAAAATAAAAATAAAACACACTGCTTACATTTAAACTTTATAAAGCGTGATCAAGTAGTTGCAATTATTTTATCCTGAATTTTCGTACATTCCGATAAACAGAACGCGCATAAAGAGAGGTGTATCACACAAATGACGCGAGTTATTTCAACTGACGAGTCTGTCAACGGCGTGGAGAGCTTAAAAAGGCCGCGTTTTCCGGGCTCGCGAACCGAGTGAAAAAAACGGTCGCCGCGATCCGCGATCACTCGAAACGGATCGAGTGAGCGGAGTGAATGAACGAGTGAGTGAATGAATGAGTGAGCGGATTGGAGAGGGCGCGCGGGACACCAGTTGATCGGTCCTGATGCGCCCTTGTCCATCAAACTCGATTTCGGTTGCTAAAGATGGAGACGCTTCCATCTAAATTGTTTTTAATATAGCTAGTTGGGGAATCAACTTACTGACATAGTCTTGCATCCGTTACCTTGCAAGTAATTAGGTATTTTAATAATATGTAAGTTTATTGTAATTTAATTGTATTATCAGTACTATTTTACGAGTTCTTTAAACGAACCAATCACGGCAATAACGGCGATTATTGTAATTATAGTTAAAAAAAGTTATCGCTTCCCTCTGATGAATATCAGAATGAATCGCGCATCGGAAACAGTTGACCGCCTTGCCAGGTCCTCCGAATATGAGGGCCACTCCATTTCAGTGACACGACAAACCCGTCACGCGCGGACGCGACAAATCCGCACGCAAAACGCGAAGTCATCCATAACCATACCGCGGCATATCGATTGCGCGGATTGAATGCGACGGGAGCCCTCTCCGCGCTATTGCAGCGCTTGATTTATCCGCCAGTGTCGAGGCACCTCGTGACGTCACCGCTTTTTTCGGCCGCCCGCTTTATTGATGGCGGCCGGTCGGAAAGCGGCCGCCGTCGAGTCCGTGAATGATTTTCCATTCCGCCCCCCACTCGGGCCCATCCCGGGCCATTTGTCAGCCACACGAAAAAGATGCATGTACCCGCCTGTTGGGCCGCGCTTTTTGTCCCGGCTCTCCGGGCTACGGTGACACGCGAAAGTGTGTTAGCGTCGCTCCGGTTTATAAAACTGCCACGCGCTTTATGCAGCGCTTTTTGCGCTTTAGTCCGTTCCAATTTTGCGATTCGGACTCACGGCTTTTAAGTCGCTGCGTTGTGGTCGCGTGCGATATTGGAACTTAATTCAGATCTAATTAGGTTCTAGTTTGGGCGTTTCACGATCGCTATTGTTTCATCATTCATTTATTACCGTGGCTCAATAAACGATACGTTACACACGTCAACGTCTCATTCTTGGAGACTCAACTTTTAAAGTAAGACAAACCATGCGTCAGATGGAATCTCTAGCTACTCGTATACTCAATCATGCAAACAAGAAACGTGTGTCAGTCGAGGAGAGACTCTGCTTGAAGCAGATTGACTGGAGTAATCTAAATTTTGTTCTAAAATGTGTTATTGAGTTTTTTCTGTCTCTATTTTCTTCTTCTCACCTTCTCTTACGTCTCTCTTAGGATTGTCTCCGTGCGGTCGTCATCACTCTGAATAATTTGTAAAACTTTATGGTCACTTTAATACAAAGAATATTTTTTTAATGAATATATGAATAATTTATCTGCAACTGTTACATAGCTTAAATTATAAAGAGCAACCTGTAGATTGTTATAAATTTCATAACGCCATCATTGAATATAATAAAAATACATTTTGCTGCGTGCACAAAACATCTTCTCAGCATGACTTTATCGTCCATAAATTCGCCCAAATGTATTGCATCACGAATTTCCCAGTTATCAAAGTCTATTATAATATAAATATAAGAATTCGTGTGCCAATATGTACCTCAGAAATGTCTCATAAGAACATTTACCCCCCAACAAGAGGCGATTGTAAAATTCCGATGGTTTCTAAATTCCTCGTGTCATTACGTAAAGAAAGACGGAGAGAACGGATAAAATTAGTGGGTCAAAGACATTATTTTGCTTTAAGATTTTAACGTAGGAATCCCCATAAAATGCTCGACCAAGACAATGTCGTAAAATGCTATCCGAGATATAAATGCAAATTTTCGTTTATATGTAAATAAATTGGACACAACCAGATATATCGCTTATTTGGATGTGTTTTAGAAATTATACCGGCCAATTCACATTAATTAAGCGAATGCTTTAAATTCCTGTCTTTCATTTAGGTGTAACAGAGTATTTGGATGGTTTGAATAGGATGTTTAAGAATACGGAAATGCTAACGTGATGTCTTCATTCATATGACGCTCTAAATTTCGATCAACATTCTTAACTCGAATTTAATTCTAATGGTGTAATAATGTTTCTTTATTCCAACAAGATTTAACAAATGATTAAAACAAAAACTCAATTATAATTATTATTACAAATTCAAGATCTCTATAAAAGATACATCAATATCATTAACAAAACAGATTTCCGCTTAAAACTGTTACTGCTAAACAGTGTTCGGAGTTTAATCCGTGTTAATCGTTAAACCATTCGTGAAATTCCCCGAACTTTTATGACAGCCGACGATTGATAGCGATAGATCCGCGAATCGGTTATTAACAGCGGCGTACGCACCGCGACAGAGCCGGGAGCAGATCCCGCTTGGAAACGTCACACGTCACGAGCCGCCGGCGGGAAATCAATTTCGAGTCAAAAAACCCCCGAATGAATCCCATTAGCGGGCACTCCATCAGGGAGTCGCGACGGGCTGGAAAGTGCGCGGTGGCAACGGTGTGGTGCGGATTTAAAAACGGATTTATACGCGGATTTCGACGCGGATTTGAATTGCATCCGCGGGGCGCCGTGTGCGTTCGACGCGAACTGCGGCCGCCGCGCGATGATGTGCGAAATCTGCGGCCGGCGGCTTTGCGACGGGCGGTGGTGTCCACTAAGATAGGTGTATAACTATGACCCACATAAATCATCTTCAAATTAAAGTCAATATTTCTTAATTAAATGTAGGCTTTCATGAACGTCAACAACTACCATCACTAATTTAAACCTGTATAGAGAAGGACCGGCGCGAAACACCGCGGTCTTGTCCTCATATTCTTAATAGTCCATTCATACAAGATGATGAACTGTAGAGTGACTCGCACATTTTCGGTGAGTTGGGGTGCATAAACGAAACATAAACTAGTTGCTTACCAACTAAATACATTTTTACGGTGGTAGGGCCACGCAGCGACCTCGGCTGTTGCACGAATGGGCAGGTTCGTCCGGGTAAGTACCACGACCTCACAGAAGACCGGTAAAGTAAAAGTTTCGTGTTTCGTCTCGTAAGTGATGGTGGCCGGAGCCCAATTTTCAAAAAGGGTTGTCAATGCATCTACAAACTTTCGGGTGTAGATGTCTATGGGCGGCGGTATTCACTAAACACCAGGTGAAGCGTCTGCTCGCTTGGCAACTTTTAGTATAAAAAAATACAGGTGTTATAATAAATAAAATATATAAGAAAAAGTGACAAACATAATTCAATAGCAATACATGCACAGCGTGTAAAAGGCTGTTCCATCTTTCTGTGTGGACTTCTATTTGCTGCTTAGTGACAGCTCTTCTTGATTACAATGAACGTCCCTCATCGTCATCATCATTTCAGCTTGTTTGAGTCCATTGCTGAACATAGGTTTTGATGTGGTAGTTACTGGTAAAATCATCCAAAAAAGATTATTTACTGCTGCCTTGAAGACATTGACTATTGTAATTGTAAAAACTTAATTCTGGTACACCTTTGTGCAACCATAGACTGTTTACCTTAACGTGTTCTTTAATAAAATGTCTATATTCGATTATTGTGCGCGTAAACACAAGACATCGTTACGGATAATGATTTTTAATTTCCCAGCGTTTGCCCCGTCCCCTCGTTTACACGCAACAATGTATGCAAAATATTATTGGTGTGGTCGTATTTAACATTCATTTGCGATGCGCCGCGGCGTTTGCAGAGCGCGTGGCGGGGCCGCTCGTATATTGCGTGCGAGCGCAACATCCGCCGTCGGCACGGGGCCGCAATGGAGCCGTGATTGAGGCGCGCCCGCAAAAACGTCGGCCAACGATCCGCCGGCGCCAAACCGCGGGCGCAATTTGTTTGTGTGGCCGCGGATTTACGACAGCGAGCGCTCGATCTGGACGCCGGCCCGCGGATTTTGCGAGCGCTCCGCTAGGCTGGAAAGCGAGTTCCGTTTGCGACTGTTACGAAACATAATCGATTACGAAAAGTGTGTAATAGTGCTCAATACTTAAAAGTGTTAAGTTAAAATTTTAATCACTACTTGTGGAGCCTACAGTGATGACAGTTTGATTCTGATTATTACGAATGTAACATAATCGTAAAAATTATACGGTTATTCTTCTTCTCGGTTGCCTTCAACCAAAAGTATTTCAGATCGTACATAATGTCCACCATGACGTCGGTAAAAGAAATAGTATAGAGAGGGGTAACTGTGGTAAGCCAGTCAATCCGATCCGCGTCTTAGGATATCGTCACAGATGTGGAACAATGACTTTCATACACAGTCACAGGTACTGGAGCCAGACCTCATATCGACGGCCTATAGGACACCAGCGCGACACAGTTTCCACACATTAACCCAATTACGGGAAGCACTTACCCTAATCTTTTTTTAAAGCCCTCTTTCCCTATATCCCTCCTTATCAGAATCTGTCCTCTGCTCTCGCTGACACGCGATCGCAGATGAGGACGATAAAAAATAATTTCCACCCCCATCAACTCACCGCGCTACATAAATAATCATTACGCGCAGCATTCAGACACGGTTACATACGCGGGGCGAGGCTCGTTAAAAATCTTAGTCGGAGGGCGGACGGAGACGTGCGTCGAGCTGATGCTAATTGCGTTAGAGGAATTATCGTAACGTATAGCATTAGGGTATAAAATATCAGTGTAACAGTACTTGTGTATATTGACGGCTTGCTCTGTGAAACGTGGGTGTCTACATCTATCTCTGTCACGCCATTAGAGTTGACAGCCGTGAGTTCTTATATCTTGCATGATTTTATTAGTTATATTTTACGAAAAATGCAAAGGCTAAAAACAAAACAAAATTGTATAGACATTGATTAAAATATTTATAATTAGTTATACTATTAATTATTCTGTGAGCGACACCAAAAGATGTAGTTTCGAATTCGCAGTGCGAGAATGTTTTTGTTCATTTATCTACATTAAAATTTATAATTTAAAAAAAAATATTGTACTAGCTGATCCGTGCGACATTTTCGCATCAGTCACCGAATGATGCTAAGTATAGTTTACTTTGATATCTATCATTTTAAAAATTACCCATAGATGGCACTATCATAAATTCTGTATAATAAATTTTTCAAAGAATGTTTTTTTTTATGAAAACGCGGCAGCAAACATAGGTAAGCTTTAAAATGGTTTTTGAATCATTAAATTTTATGAAGAATTATGGATATGTAAGATAACAAGATACAGCCTGTTGACATACGGACAGACAGACCGACAGCGGAGTTTTAGTAATACGGTCCCGTTTCCCTTTGGGTACGGAACCAGAAAAAAACACCTTTGAGAAACAATATATAGAGATATGTTATTGGTAGTAGTCTAATAGTAGAGCTAACAGTCTACTATTACCGTCGTTTCTATAAACCGTAGCACAAGTCGTGGTAGCAAGCGCTTGTGCGCGTCGCCACCCCGTGGTCGTTTACGGTTAATAATAGGCCCCGCTCCCCCCGCCCGCCTTATCTGCTGTATTAAACCATAAAACATTATAATTTACAACGTACCACGCTATGACGGCGCAGTCGGCGCTCAGCGCTTCTCAAACCTAACGCCGCCTTTCGTTCAACAGTTTATGGGAAACGGGAGTTGCAGTTTATGCATCGGGTGCATCGCTTTTGACGCTGTTAGCTAGCTAACGGTTTAACCGCCCCCTTCTATCGTACATGTTACTGACTCCATTTAAGTGACTATGTCCGTTAATGGGCTAATGGAACATGTGACGAAATACCGCACTCATCCGTTTTCGTGTTTGAGGAAACAAAAACACCAGTTGAATTTAATACACTGTAATATATTATTGATTTAGGTTATTAATAATGTTATTTAATTGCACTTTATAACTCGGAAAGTATTACCTTCGACGCACAATATTTCTCAATTTAACTTAAGTAAATTTATATAATTTATACAACAAAAAAAAAGTTTGTTATGTTTGGATTATTCAGCGTGCTTATAACGTATTTACATAGCAAAACACTAATTACTAAGTTAATTTCGTAACAGTATAAAAAAACTTAACTGTAATTACTGACAGCGCAGCAAAAACAGAAGCCAGCTAGACAAGTTGTTATAAGCGAGAACCCTATAAAAATATTCATAACGCGAGCTCATTAACGATACGTTTACGATTTGCGAACTAGGTAAAGTTTGGGAGCCGACGTCAGGGGATACTTAAAAATAACGAGATCCTAGCAAATATTGTAATACCCCTCCCCTAGCCCCGCGCACCCCGACGGCATTTAGCGCGAAACCTTTGTTTTAGCGATGTTTCTTCGCTGAACGCGCGTTTTTGCTCGCGGCTTGTTTGCTCGGCGCCGATAAACGCGCGACCCTGTTTGCCCATCGATATATCCCGTGTGTAGTCCCTTAACACGGTACGTTTTGTTTCGTATGTTAATAGACACGGTTAATGGTTATCGTCGGATGGGTTTTAGGCGTGTTGCACGAGCTTTGCTGATGTCGGACGCTTAATGTTCGGGGTTATCGTTCGTTTGTAATACGTGTCTTTGGTCCGGATTACACTCGTAATTTTATAGTAGAGGTTTTTAGCGGCGTGGCTTGTAGACCGCCGTGACATTCTGCTAACTTGCCTTTCCTGTTGCATGCCTCGGCACAGTTGCCGTTTTCACGTCATATGGTGGCAATCGAGCTGGCATTTTACCTGACCTAAGTGATAACCGCCGCCCGTAGACATTTGCAACATCTGTAGGGTTATAATGCGTCCGCTTTATATATTACCTCGCCTTTCGAAACACTTCCATTTCACACTGGTCTTCTGTGAGGTGGTGCTACCATCTCGGAGGAACGACCCCATTCGTGGAAAATAACTGCAGCAATTGCACAACACTTTTTCAGTATGTACTCATAAGTAACAATCACGACATTCGTCTTTATATTTTTCTTGTGAAAGCTGGCAAACTGTTGCTAAGCGATAACAGCCGCCTATGGATATCTGCAACACCTAAGCAATTGCCGAGAGGTTGCTAACCATTAAATTTGGGTTTCGTCTATCTCAATCAGCAGACGAAACGCGAAAGTATACACTTCCACCTCACATCCGTCGTTAGAAGCCATGATGGACCGGACGAGCCTTCCCATTCGAGCAATAGCATAAGTTACTGCGCAGCTCTACTACACCTACCTCATCATCTCTTAGACCATGCGACTCGTACGAAACGCCGCTTAACCCAAAAAGTCGGTAGTTCTATGCGTAATATCAAAGTCAAAGTCAAAGTCAAAATTTCTTTATTCAACATAGGCTTATTTTAAGCTCTTATTGAACGTCAAAAACTACCACCGGTTCACTAAACTAGACCTGCAAGAGAAGAACCGGCAAGAAACTCTGCGGTCATATATTTATATTTTATTTCTATTTTTTTTTAAAGTATTTAAGTATACACCCAAAATTATTTTAGTATAAGGACTTGCAGGAGCCAGGGGACTTGCAAGTGCAGAGCAAGAGTCATTTCCACACATCCTTGTTTGAAATTATTTAAACTTAATTGTTTGTGGAATATCTTTTTAATAACTCTGGTGTACTCTAATCCGTTAAGCGTGCCTCGACATTCCGCAATCCTAGAGCACCTCCGAAGGACCAATGGAAAGGCAAATAGCCGCGCCATAATCCCTCCATTGTTTAAACCGACAATCGCGCCTAATATTTGCCCTATCTCGGCGATAAAGCTGGCACGTGAGGCCGCCGCTTCTTACGCGGCCCGCTTTACGCGCCGCCTGTGACAATATTGTTTTACAATGCGTCACGGTCCATTTCATAAGCGGGAGCGAGAGACTTCGCTTCCATTATATAAAGCGCCGACACGAATAACTAAATTAAAATTAAATTTTCTGTGATCGAAATATAACTAATACAGGCAGTGCTTAAATGTCGACAAAGCTAGACTTCTTGTGATTTCCTTGCTGAAATTGGTAAGTTCTACGATTGAAGCTAGACAGTTTAGTGAGTGTTGGGTGATGTTGATTCAAATACGTTTTAAATATAACATGAAACAAATATTATTTATCTCACGTTTTGTAGCGTTACTTACTCGGACTAATGGATACAAAATTGAATGGAAGTTTTCCAAGTTACAATCAGTCATTGTCAAAATTATTGCGGGACGACAGCCATTGTTGCATTTAAGCTAGCGGGCGACCAAGTTGGCTACTTACTTCAATTTCGTGTCGTGTTCGACACACTCAATTGAAAGATTTTAAATAAAAATTGTTCTAAACTTAAAGATACCTTTCATTTAACTATCTATCGGTTTGGCTGTCGACTTGTATGCATCACAACTAAGTTGGCACAATACTACCTACCTTCTACTTTTACCTCCATTAATCTCTGGAAATGTTAATTAATATACACAAATTTTTGACATTTATTGCAAATATTTCATTTAAATGTATCTTCTGCGCTTAGATCTGAAACACTAGATGTGTTGCAGACACTTTAACGGAAATTTGATCCGCTGTATATAGTTCAACGAACTAAACATCACTAGATAGTATAAAACGAAGTCGTCCCGTCGTTAAAACAATGAATAAGTAAGTGTTTCAGTTCCTACAATATTAAATTTTGTATACGCTTGTAGATTGGTGAAACCGCGCATCAGTGGTGCTTTTTATGGGGTTATTACAAATTTACTTATTACCGTCTATTGGTACAGCCGTATCGTTGACGGCTTCCACTAATCCACCTCAAATGTTGGTTCTGTTTTTGTAAATACACTGTGATCTAGCTTTATCGGGGGCAGGTTTATGCGCAGTTGCTTCTGACTTACCTAATCCCCGACGGTACGGGCTTACACGATCACGGTGTTTGCGCACTCGTATTTGCTGTTGGTACAATTCGTGACGTAGAATCGGAGATCTGAAGAGACCGGTCTGATGTGTGATTATATTTGGACGTTAGATAGAAGGATACTGTAAGCTATTCT